AAGAGAGAGATCCGCCCCCGCGCCATCTTTCTCCATCGGGAACTTCGTCTAAACAGCAAGAAGAAGCAGCCAACAACTAAGACGAAGCAGCTTGCCAAGAAGCCGACACCAAGAAGCAGAAGCCACCAGTTGACAATGCTCTTGGAACTGGAAACAGTTTCGATTCTGATGACATGTTTGGTGACGATGGGAACCTTTTCTCCTCTCCCAAAAACGATGACGATGACAATTGACGAGTGGCTTCAACAGAACATTGATCAGCTTCAATAACAGCACGTGGAAACAGACGTTTTCCTTGGGGGCCAGAACGATGATACCATCATGAACGACGAAACAGGCCACAAGAAGAGAGGAATGAGTGAGATGGCGGCTAAGTCCGAGAAGCAGGGGCTGATTCGATTTGTGCCTGTGCCAAAGCAGGATGATAAGGGCGGAGACTACTAGCTAGTATGCAAATATTACGATTAATCGCCCATTTACATGTCACCAACATAAATATTCCAGAGTGGGCTTCCATGATCCATCTGGTACTGGCAAATGACAACAATAGCAGCAACACAGAGCTGGAGTTTGGCTTGGCCATGCCGATGGACATGGTCCATAGCTTTGAAACTCTTTAGCATGCTGTTGAAATATTCATGGCGTTTCAAAGCTCTCGATTTGAATCGACGAACACTTGCAGAGTCATGAGCGTTTGGAGTGCTCAGCACACCACGATCGCCCGTGTATCCACCGTCAGCAATTGCTTTCTTATTGAATTCGTGCAACTTGTCGCGTAGGCCACCATTGGCTCGAAACATAACTCGGTCAGGGTTTTCTCCTGCTTCTCAGCCGGCAAAATTTGTAGCACCTGACTGCGAACAAGGGACAGAACAATCTCAGTGTTGTATCCGGCTGAATGGTGCTTAAAATCAAACATGCCGGGATCCTTCGCCAATTCTGGATGGGCAACTTCCCAAGCCGCAGTCATAGTAGCATCAATAGAGCAGATCCAGATGTCATCTCCATGAATGTGATCTTCTGGCCAATAAACTTTGGAGGCAAGGAGACGGGCTACTTTCTCAATGAAATACCAAACCCACTCTCGCTGTGTTGCCACCCGCTGTTGATATGTGCAATTCCGCTCAGTTTCAGTAGGATAGCGCTTCAGGAAATGCAGTGCCATGAAGTAATATTTCAGCTTGAGCTTCTTCTCTGGAACTCTTGCCTCATCAATCGATGTTGTCTGCAAATCTTTCCAGATTTGAGCAGCATCAATAGGGATGGGACCGTAGCGATCTTTGAAGGTCTGAACCTTCGACTTAATACCCCATTTTGACAATCGCTCCTCTTTGAATCCAGCGAGTGCCAGTCCCTCAGCAAGCATTTCGTCTGGTGTTTTGATTGAGTACACTACATACCCATCATCATCAAAGTCATCTGCCATGTTGCTGCTGCTGCTAGCCTTTTGTCTTCCTGGTGACGGGCCACAGTATGGTTGGTGTCGACGCTGTTGGTGTCGATGATGTTGGTGTCGACGCTGTTGTTGTTGAGTGGAGTACTCACTTGGACGTTCAATTGAATTGCGTCGCGTCATGATAGCACTATCCCTTGTCAGAAAACATTCCCTTAAACATTCCCTTATCACGAACGAACGGAAACATTCCTTTAAACATTTCCTTAAACATTCCCTTAAACATTCCCTTATCACGAATGAACATTCCCTTAAATAAACATTCCCTTAAAACATTCCCTTAAATCTGTAACATTCCCTTAAACATTCCCTTAAATCTTCAACATTCCCTTACGGAAAACCAGGATTAAAGTCAGTCGTGGCAGCTTTTTAACGCCTGAGCGAAAACCGTCGGACGGTCCTGGCGTTGCGGTTTTACGTTTCTAATGCTAATAAAATTTGCTTTTCAAACCGAACGGTACTCAAAAGGCAATATGATCCTGTTAAAAGCGTTCCCTGCGGCATGCGGTTTTGCAGAGTGGCAAACGCGAAAGATATCGGCAGGTGCTGTCCAAAACAAAGCACAAAGCCAAGTCAAATCCTTTGATACTGTAGAAACAACCACCATGACGACTGTCAAGCGCCCCAACCAAGAGCACCACTCAGCGGTAATTCGTGTTGTCTTATTGCTTGTGGCAGTGCTGGGTGCAGCCTTTCTTCTTTTCAAGCATGACCCCTACACCCAACCTGTCTCCGGTGTCATCAAAAAGGCAGAGTCCACGCTGCGCCAGAGGAAACAAGAAGCAAAGACAAGCCCCACACAAACCAATGCACCACTGGCATCGTCTGGAAGAACCTTTGTCATGGATTTGGCAGGATTGAAGGAGGGGAAAACAGGTAAAATTGTGATCAAAACGCGTCCTGAGTGGGCACCACTGGGCGTCGAACAATTTCATCATTTGATGGATGCTGGCTTTTACAAGGATAATCGCTTCTTTCGGGTGGTGAACAATTTCGTGGTTCAATTTGGCATTCAGAGTGTGCCAGGGAAGTTTCCCAAAGAACCTCCCATCAAAGATGATCCTGTCAAGATGACCAATGATCGAGGAACATTGACGTTTGCTACCTCTGGACCCAATTCACGAACGACCCAGCTGTTCATCAATATCAACAAAAATGGCAACAAGTTCCTGGATAAGCAAGGATTTGCACCTATTGGAGAAGTGATCAGTGGCATGGATATTGTTGGTAAGTAGCATTGAGACAATGTGAAAAGGAAACGGAAAAGGAAAACAGTGACACTAAAAGGGAGACCTCACCGTTTGCTCTTGACCATGACTGACCACAACTTTGATTGCAGATCAGATATATTCAAGTAAGTGCAGGGATGCGATGTACAGTACTGGTTCCTCTGCTAGTAGATACACCTCTTCTCACAATTTCCCATCCGCGCACACAGACTATGGGGAGTCGCCCAATCAAGGTTTGTTTGAAGTTCTTTGACGCAAGTTGTCTATCTATAACTAACTACAAACTAACATGTCATTCTACTATTTGACTTCAGGGAAAATCCACCTCAAGGGAAACGAGTACCTCAAAGCTGAGTTTCCAGATATGTCGTACATTGCAGATACAAGATCACAAGATGCTTAAAAGTGGCATCTTCCGGCAACCGGTACAGCTGGAGCGGGAGCTGTGCCTTTTCCAGGGGACCCAAGTATAACCGATAAAGGACAATCTACATTCTCGGGCATATGGTGACTCAGATTTATAAAGCAATATCAAAGGAGGGTAGTCCCTGTCGCTCGGCAGCGGTCATTCCATGTTGCTGGTGTTGGTTGAAACTGCTTGAGGTTTTGTAAACATGCACAGGAGCGCAAAAAAGCGAGAAACGAACGAATTTAAAACAATTCGAAGTAAAAGTACGTGCTTCCATCTTACGTCTAGCTAGCCACGGCACCTGAGGACCCCTTGCCTCTCAGTTCATGAAAACTTCATCGGGCTCTGGTCTCCATTCTTCCTTCTGGCCATATTTCCCATATCCCATCGCGAAGGTTACTTTGGGGCTGCCGTGCTATTCCCGGTTTTCTTCTTTCCACTGGAAGTCTTTTTGCTTTTATCAGGCGTTGGAGTACCAGCACTGGCAGAGGCAGAAGTCGGTGCGGCCGTTGTCTCTGTGGGTGGCGCTTTGGCGCAAGGTTGCGTGAGCAGCCACTCGGAATTGAAATTCTTGGGCATTTCAAAAGTACCGTATGTTTTCCCTCCATGTTCCAAGCAGTCGTAGTAGCGCCTAACGCCTTCCAAAACTTCTGGTTTCTCATTCCAAGGAGGAGCATTCCTCAGATAATCAATCAGCCGGATATGACTATCAAACTCGAGGCCTGCCGGTCCGTCCTCGTTTTCATTGTCTTGTTTCTCTGTCATTTCGAGCATTTGCAACGAAGCTGCAGCATCTCGCACCTTGGACGATCGTAGTCGCTCCCACAATCGAAGAAAGTAAGCAGCCTGTGCTCCTGGTGCAAGAGTTTTGCGCTGCTCAGCATGACGGCCACGACTTTCCTTCATCCTGTCCTTGATGTCCTGTGAGATCTTTTCGCACTTTTGAATGTGCTTTTCAATCACTGTGGCTGCAGTTGTCATACTTTCTATTGACGTGAAGAAATATCGACCTTCCTTGGCTCCCGAACAGTGGCGGCACATCAGTCCGACGAATCCTACTCCAATGCGCCGATTCTTCTTGGCAACGTCCTCTGCGGTGGCACGACAGGGAACAACTTGTGACATTACAGTAGCTAGGAAGTCAGTCACCTCGGGACGATCTTCTTCCCAAAATGCCTCGGTGCACTCCAAAGATTGCGACGAGTCTGCTGTAGACCGCAGGTTCTCCAGGCAAGAGGAAAAGGAGGATGGCACTGCCCTTTCGCCCACATAATCCTCCTTTGGTGGGTGGAAACGCGCGTCAAAGAGTTCGGTATGCTTCTGTGTCAAGAAATTGGCAAGCTCCTTCAACACCATTGTCGTATCGTCAATCAGTTGCACGGAGAGCTGAGCTTGGCTCATGATACCTGGAACCACAAGCAGAAACTGGCTGAGATATTCGCACCCAGCGAAATCACTGGGACGACGCCCATCTGCAATGCCTTCTTCGGTCTTCTTTTCCTCGTCGGAAAGCAGCAGAGGATACATCTGGTCGAATGAAGCCTTGACGAAGTCGACAACCAACTCTGCCCTATTCTTTCCTTCCGTGTTGTCTTCGCTGATTTCGCTCGTTGCTTTTTCCAAAAACATGGCGAGCGCAGCACTAACGGTTTGGTTTCCGCTGGTTGAGCTTCTCGGTTTCTCCTCCACAGCATTGACAAACAGTCTCTTGGTTAGTTTGGGAACCAACCCAAGTCCCAGTTGACTGGATGCCTTTGCGAGCTTGATTCGAGACTTTGCACGATCCTTGACGGTCTCCTTTGCTTGGCGGTCTTCTTTGTCCTTCCGACTTCGTTGACCCGGGGGCAGGAACGCAACATCAGACGGAGTCTCTCCTCCTTCGACTCGCCAATGCGAGATTCGTAGGTTTGGCCACACAAGGCCCAAGAACAATGGCAGCGACTTTGGAGTGTATTCCGATGCGCTGACCACGCATGGAAAGGCAACTGACGATCCTTCGAAATCTGGCTTGCAAGATTCACCAAGGGCAATGGTTTCTTCTGAGACGACCTTCGCAACCGCATCCCTTGCCTCTTTCAATACGCTTGCCTTCAGAGGGACGCCGGTCTCAAGCAGCAGCGAGGAGCATGACATAACTGCCTCCAAGACCTTCATCATCTGACACTTTATGTACCAGCCTTCGTTGACACTGGAAATATCTCGTTTGACATCGTCGAGCACTCTAAACTGAGCCTGCGGAGATTCTTTCGGTGGGCTCTTGGCGGTCTCTTTGCTGGGAGCACTTCCAGATTTTTGTGTGGGAGCCGAAGCTTCAGTTCCTTCGGTGGATTGTGGCGGTGGAGTTGTCGGGAGAGGTGGAGCAGGGGGGGCGGAAACCTCCGATGTTGCAATTACGCGCTGAACATCAGGAGGCATTATTCCAAAGACGGGCTCATTGCATAGCGCAAGGGCATCAGTGTAACCCTGGGATATCGAGTTTCTGAAGACCAGTGTTCTCGAGGGGGACGTGTCAAGTCGAAAGTCTCCCTTTCCCTGGAACTTCAACAGAAGCTTCTCTAGGCCCTTTCTGCTCTCTCCTTTTGCGTCTGTTACGGCTCGTGCAAACTCCACGCACAACTCACGGATATCGGCAATGAATACTTCTTCCGGGTAAGATGCATCCAGAGAGGTACTGTATCGATTGACCTTCTCAACCAGCGCCTGAAATAGGTCCATACCAAGAGGACACAGCCGCTGAAGGCTAGATGCGTTCAAAAGATCGTTGCTTTCAATCGCATCGTCGAGTTCACCGTACGTTTCCTTCTTGATCAAGTCCACAGTTGATTCGTCCCAAATGCGATGGTTCTGCAGCTTTGAAACGAGCTCGGGGGTCCAGGCGACAGTTTTCCAGGCAGCGACAGCCTCGGCACCAACTGATCTTGCCGATCCTCCCTTCGTCTTCATTTCTTGTAACCGCTGTACAATCTTTGATGTCACCCAGTGAGCTCGCCTTCGCGCAACAATCAAATTAGGAATCGGAACGTCGTTTTGGGCAGTCTTTGCATCCGAGGCTTCTTTGTCTGGTATCTTCTGTAGGTCGCCGTCCACCTCGTCAGAGACGAAACATGCAATTCGTTGCACAAGCGACTGTAGGCCAAACCTGGACAGACGAAGAATCATCTCTTCCACACGCTGCCTCCACTTGGTAGCCCTCGGCGCGTTGACTTTCTTTGCCTTTCCCAAGGGGCTGCAAAATCGTACCTCGACACTTTGCCCTCTCTCCAGTGGATCTTTTAGGTACAAGAAGTACTGCCGACGAGATTCAAGGAAGGTAAGATGGTAAGGAAGGCATAGCGTCCAATACCCCCATGGCAGAACGGATTCCTCCACGTACCTGGCATTTCCCGTTCTCGTCCTTGCCTACAGTAACGTTCGATGCATACGTGACTTCCGAGCTTTCCCCACACACCTGCGAGAGTAGCAGGAAGCAGGGAGACGTGAGGTTTGCCATACAATCGCAAAGATTCACTGTTCGTCTAATTTTGCCATACCTGAAGGAGAAAGCTCTTTATGATTGGAAACACTCTTTCAACCTCCCCTACATCGGTCGTGGTAACAATCAGAAAGGAATTGACCAGCCAGCAACTTTCTTTGCAGTATTCATCCTGCTCTTCTCACCTTCGCATGGCAAAGGCCACACGTCATGTGCGCACAGTTCCAGCATGCCACAACCATCTTCTTGCGTCGAGAAGGGGACACGAATCTGCTTTCCTGCGGCATTTGGCGAATTCGGGTCCTTCTTGATCTTCTTTGACAGGTCCTTCGCCACCGGCATGGATACAAAGGAGTAGTCGTCCCCGCTCTCTATCACTGCTACGTGAGGCTGGACCACGCGTGCGTAATCGCGGTACACTGTCTGCAACTTCCTCGCACCTAGGAAACAAATGAAAAGTCCTATGCCTGACGGTTTCTTTCGAATGGACAACTGAAAGTAGAAACGAAGCCTAGGGTCTGCGAAGGAGCCATGCTGTGTGAGTCAGTCGTGTTGAAGCGGACATCCCTTCTGATGCTCTGTTTGCGTACCAGTACGTACCTCGTGAACTCTCGACGACTAGTTTTTTCGTTGGCTTTCCAAACAGGATCTCTGGAAAAGAGAGCACTTTCTTGCTGCTCATCTTGATGATCGCTTTGCTGCTCGTCTTGCTTCCCGGTGGCTTCGCTTCAGGTTTTACTTGCGGGGTGGGCTTTTTCGTGGTGGCCTTTACCTTTGGCTCCTCCTTGGTCTTCGTTTGCACGGTGCTTGGAGTTACTTGGCTCGGCCCCCCTGGACCAGCCTGTGCAAGCTCCTCCAAGCCCCGCTCTTTTGCCATTTTCCGCACCTGAGCTTTCCATCCACTCACAGAAGCAATAGCGCCTAACCCCTTCAAAACGGACATGTTGTGTTTTGCCCGCCATTCGACAAAGGCAGCAGAAAGGTCTGTGGTCCGGCTGGGCATTTTGGGAAGAAGCGTTAGGATCACAAGACACAGGATAACACAAGACTGCGACGCACAATGAACCCCCCCCCCCTGAACTTACCTGTGCATGAATGCCTCCGCGCTGGTGATTCCAAGGGAACTGAGAAATGTCTGGGTTACGGCGCTCAGCGAGTAGAACACATCTTTTTGGAGCAACTCTTGTTGCTGGGACGGGGCACCGTGACAGCCTTCTCCTTGGCAGGGTCTTTGGTTTTATCCTGCGGTTTCCCTTCTGGTTGATTTTCCTTGCGTTTTTCTTTCTTGGCCTTCTTTGCAGCCGGCGCCTGTGCCTTCTCCTCGGCTACAGATCCCGATGGAGGATTGCCTTTCCTCTTTTTCGATTTTGCCGGAAGCTTTTCGTTCAACTTCTTACTCACCATTTGACACCAATCAGAGATGACCAATTCGTACGACTTCTTATCAGGCAATATCGTCGACAATGTGATAACTAACGGTGAACCCGGGTTCCTCTGGGCGGCAAAAAGCTCTGCAGCAGTCGTTACACCCGCATGCTGAAGGATCGAGATGTGCTTAGGGTCGAGCACACCCTCGAAGAATTTCGTGGAATGAGCTTCGTCAACATCCTGAATCCGTTTTTCAGAAGTGGAAGCTTGCTGTAAAGGGTTGGACGCCTGCACTGGTTTGGGCGATACCATACCTTGCATTTTCTTTTCTCGTTCTTTTTTCTGCTTCGTCGGGGGCGTCTTGCCTTGCTTTGCAGCATTCTGGCTCCCAGTCTGTTTGCTAGGTGTCTGGGTTTGCTTTTTCTGCTCTGGCTGCTTGGTCTTCTTCGCGAGCGCTTGACCTTGTTTCTTCACCTCTTTTGGTTCTTTCGAATCTCTCGTTTCTTTTGATTCTTTTGGTGCTGTCTGCTTAGAGGGTGTCTGCTTAGCGGATGCATGTTTGGCGGATGCCTGCTTGGCGGCTTCTTGCTTAGCGGATGCTTTCGCTTGTTTCTCCCCCTCCTCATCCTGTACAATCGGAGTATTCTCTGCCGCTTCTACTAATGCCTGAAGGTCGATGTCTTTGAGTATTTTCCCTTTGCCCTCTTCAAGATCCAAGGCCTCCTTTACATTGGCTTTCCATCCAGAGATCATGGCAACCTTGCCAGACCCCTTGAGAGGGGGCAGCCCCTTGGTGGTTCTCCATTCGACTAGGGCAGTAGCAAGGTCCTTGGTTCTGGTTTCGATGAATTCGGCGCCAGACGAGATCTTTCGAGAATCTACAACGAACTCCCGGGCAGCCCCCGTGAGAACCACGACGATGTCCTTCATCCACTTTCTTGTCGCAGGATCTGTCGGTGGCACTGATGATATTGCAGTCTCGACTCGGAGGCCCAAACCGAGAAAATGTTTGGCTAGAGCGAGGGGTGCGCCCTCAGTGAGACCGCAAGCTTTTCTCCAGGCCCCGCACAGTGCAATGATGGCTCCTGTTTCTGTCTTTTTGATGCTCATAAAGTCAAAGAGTGATCGAAGCGGGACCGAGGCAAAGAAACGTAAAGCAACCGTAGGGAAAAGGCACGACACGGGCCCGTCGAGAGGAAATTTCTTTTCCATGGGAAGCCGGCGCTCCTTTGGATCTCGCTGCTTCCACGCATTGATCCTTTCTTCCCAAGCCCGAAGCAAACGCTCTGCTTCTGCTTTCGCTTTCGAGTCAACTTCCACCTTTCCATTCGAACGGCCGCTTTCTTGTGGAGGATTGCTTGAGGAGACACCTTTGGTATGATGGATCTCGGTGGGAGACGATGCACCCGCCACCGTGCCGGTATCTTCGTTTTGAAGGCCAGCTGGATTCTTTCCCACATCTCCATTGTTTTGGCGGTTGCCTTCAGACAAGGTGTCAGCTTTCTTGGTGCCCTTAGTTGCTGATGACACCAAAGAGCTCTGTGCCACTTGCAAAAGCAGTTGACTTCGAAGTGAAGACGATTCTTTCTGCTCGTTTGAATCGGCAGGTGGGTTTGTAGATTGCAGAACGCTGTCAAGCTGCTGAATGGAGAAAATCCAACACTTCTTGGCCAAGAATCGGCAGTGGTGTGAGACAAGTATGCCCATCAAGTCATCGATCGGCTCTACGATCTTAAGCGCTTGGTCCTTTTCCTTCTTCGCGACCAGGACTCTTTTCGTCGGCTTCGTCGGTTTCTTTTTCTTCTTCTTGTCTTTGTCAGGTTCCTTGTCCTTGTCATCCACTGGGATGTCCTTCTGTTTAACTTCACCTTTCTTTGATTTACTGGACTTCTTCTTGGCAGACTTCCGCACTTTTGGATTCTGCCCAGACGGCTTGTTCGTTTGACCCTGTGATTCTTTAGCAGCAGCAAGGTCGCCCGAGATCCCAAGCCTCGGTGGATACGTAGGTGCGTCAAAGGATTCATCCTCGTCAGCATCATCAAATATGCCTCCTTTGCTCGAGCTGGCGACCTTTGCCTTCTTCTTCACAGGCAAGCTTGGTTCTGTTCTCTGCAGAGGAGGTTTGTGCCCCCCTTCAGACTCAGCATCATCGAAAATGCCTCCTGAAGAGCTTGGCGGGGCAACCAAAGGCGCCGGCGCAGGTCGTTTCCTCGCATCACTGCCTGCATGGGACGGGATAAAACCAGAGGGATTTTGTCCAGGGTACGGTGGCGGAGGTGGTGGAGGCGGGTGTCCAGGATGTGGATAGTGTACCGGTACACCTGTTGCCATTCCCATGCGCGTGTGTGTTTCTGGGCCAAAGTGGCTGTCGTGACCGCTCATGTAGGAGAGCAGTCCCGGCCCACCACCTTCGCTCTGAGATCCTCCATTGGAGGTCGGCATTGGTTGTGCAGTAGCTGATGCCTGCAGCAGCAAGTCAAGATTGGTGCATCTATTCGAAGAGCTTTGAGCATCGGTAGCAATGCTGGGAGGTTCGGGCTGGGTGGCGTAGGTGTAGGGACCAGCAGCATTGGGACGAGGACCACTTTGGTAAGGATGATGTTGATGATGGGGATGATGCATTCTCGGGTCTATGGAGTACCCCCCTGCAGCATAAGCATAATCTAGGTTGCCATGAGTTGGAGCACCGCTTCCATAATGGACATGCGGATGAGGGTGTCCGCCGTGATAGTACGCTCCACCGCTGAAGCCGTGATGATGTTGTCCTGCAACAGAGTAGGGCGCTTGATTTGGGCCTTCAAGTTCATCTTCATTGTCTGGATCATGGTCCAACAAGGGGTCGTGGTGGTATGCATCCATCCCGTGCACCTAGGCAGTACAAAAGAGTTCAAGCAAGTTGAGAGAATTTGTCAGGTGCTTGAAATTCCATCATCCAGGATAGTGTATTAGCTTGGGCTCTAGCTACTAGCTAGCTAGAGCTCTAGTAGAGCTATCCCTCACAAGCGAAGCAACTTGGAGCCAACAATTTGATGCAAGCAACGATAGCATATAGAGGAGCCATTGTGTCGAGACAAGGCAGCAGAATGGGTGCAAGGAAAATATGTTTTGGTGTACCGATAGCCCGTAGCATTGTACGCTGTACGGGTGGACCGTGGCTGGCTTGTTAGGATGCTGCCAGTAACGATTGTGGAGACCAGCTGGCTGAAATCTATTACTGGTAGAGCCATGGAAGTTCTCGAGTTGTTTGTCGCTGTGGTTAGCATCAGCGTCTGTTGTTTTGGCTGTCGCCGTCCCCGGCAGTACCGGTAGCGAAGAGAAGCAAGAAATCCATGTCTAGCAGCACGTGCAGTCGCTGATTGAAGGTGGTAGCCAGCATGCACTCGAACGCCGCTCTCAGAAGCCGAAGACGACACAGCAGACAGGATAACAAAACCAATCAATCGATGGTAGCAGCAGAAGACACTCACCGTTTCCACAAGTATGATAATCACACCAGTATGGAGTCTGGCTGCTGTTGGGTATCTATCGATCACCTTTTTGGTGGCTTGCTGGTAGCAGCCGATTGGAGGGTTGGTGGTTACTCCTAGTTTTCTTTACTATAGAAAATAGAGTAGCCAAAAAGAGAGGATAGATACAGCAAATTGCTGCAGGTAGACTAGTCTTGTCCAGTAGCTATGGTACTGATAGCTACCGGTAGCTGACTCTGTACGATTGGCCTATGGTGAGTTCCGGTAGCTAGCTAGATTGCTGGTCGAGTTACTTGCTAGCTAGTAGTACGCTAGCTCAATCCAATCGAGCCGAGCTGGCTTCACAACAGCAGTCAGGATTGATAACTCTAGCATTTCGATGCAGGGCACCCGGCACCGCGAGTCATCATTTTAGGTCTTGTTCTTCGGGATAGGATTGTAAACAGAAATTACACGATCGATCTCGAAGGTACAAGTCTAGGACTTAAAGAAGGCGAAAAGGCTTAACATGATTAGTGGGCTTTCCATTGGGTACGCTATGCGTACGGTATTATTTAATAATAGTATCACATATGCATACCGGTACTAGCTAGTACTATTTTTATTAATAGTAGCTACACTTGTATGTGTAGTACGGTTATTACACTGTAGGCTGCCCCAAGTAGCCAGGGAGGTTGGTAAAGCTGGAGGTGAGTGGGCAATGTTGCTCTACTGCACCGCCACTAACCACTCGTTCCTCCATGGCAAAAGACACAATAATGGACGATGAGTCATTGGTACTGGCAAAGTTAAGAGAAGATCTTCGACGTCAAGGCTATGTTCGGATACCCAAGTCGCTTTTTTGCCTGGACGATAGTCGAGTCGAAGCTCTGCGAGCATCCTTTGCTAGACTGTTTGATGGTCACTACGAGACTGGAATCTACCCGGATGAAATCCATTGGCGCAAGGGGATATCTCGTGAGACAGCAACCCGAGAGATTTGCAATGGCTGGAAAGCAGACGGCTGTGTGGCAGATACCGTGTTATCTCCACAACTGGGTCGACTGGCTTGTGCGTTGATGGAATGGTCTTCGAGTAGAATGGGCCAAGATGATGTTCTGCACAAACCTCCGCAGTCGGGCCCCGTGGGCTTCCATCAAGACGGAGCTTATATCAGCGACAATTTCACTCCTGAGCAGGATAACTGCTTGACAATGTGGATAGCCTTGGACGACGCTGACGGTGAGAATGGGGCTTTGCAATACGCACCAGGTTCGCACTTGTGGACACAGCAGCCACCATCACTGACAGAACCAGACGAGAAAGATAACAACATGAAAACCTTGTCATTTCATGTGGGCGAGGGAAAAGATCATATTGATTCCTTAAGGCAGGCAGCTGCAGAGCTTGGCAGGGACCCTCTGCAAGCTGTGGCGTCTGTACGGACAGTACCTGTGAGCACTGGGGAAATGGTGGTGCATCTGCAGAACACTTGGCATGGGAGTGGACCCAACACCTCCAAAGACCGGCAAAGACGAGCTTTGGTGGCACATTTGTTAGATGGCCAAGTTAAATGGAGCTCCACCACGAAACCACACTACATCTACGGGCGATACTACATAAAAGGAGAATTCACACCACGAGATGACTTTTTCCCATTTACCTACAGAACTACCAACGCTCATCATTGACCAATCCCCCTTTGCTGTGGTCAAGACGACAATGGATTTCCAACCATCGCACAAGGGACTCGTGACGGGCACAACGGATTCATTGGATGAGCTGAAGATTATGTGGGTAGCCTCCTTTCAGGTATGTAACATATACGGTACCCCTGACGGTGTCGATCTCTTCGTTCGATTATCTTTTGGTTTTGGCAAGGAGGATAAATCTTGATCTTGATTCTTTCTTTCCATGAGAGCTAATTGTAATCAATGCAAATCCGAGCCAGTTGCAACTTGTCGTATGTTTGCTGGATTTTGTGATGTTTTATGTCTGTTTTTTATGTTGTCGGTTGGCAAGGACGAAAAGATACTTTGTTCTTGATTTCTTTTCCTTAAAATCATGAGAGCCAAACTATATGCTTAAATTTCCGAGCCAATTGAGAGACTGAACGAGTGTCGTTTGTGTGTTTGTTTGTATGGTATTGATTGAATCTCTCTGATGTGCTCCTTGATTGTGTTGCGCTTTTGGTGTTTCCGCATGCCCAGATGGAGCCATTCGCCTCCCGCCGTGACGTGTGGCTTGTGGGAGTGCTAGAGGAAGTCGGGCGAGAAAAATCGTTAGCTCAGCATGCCGATCAATGGCTGCAGGGCTAGTAGCTCCCCAACAATTGTCCCCAACTCGCTTGCTGACCTTTTTCTTGCTTTTGAATTGCCCAACATCTCTCTTGGTTCAAGGTTGCATGTAAGTTCCTGTGTCCCCTTTCCTGTTTGTATCGACGCCAGTGGTTACATGTTTGTGCTGGGGTTCAGTTTGAGAATGCATCCTTTTTCGGTACTGTGTCTTTCCTTTTCACGAGGATCATTTTACACACTGTCACCTTCATGCGGATGCTACAGAAAGGGGTTCTCCTCACAACGGAATTATATTAGCGTGGTACCCGAAGATTGCCTCATCGGCTCTCGACTTGTCAGTAAGGTTGGGTTACGATCTGGTGGCGGGCACAGTTCTTGTGTCAACCGCTCACTTGCTTCGGCGAGCGTCCGATTGTTCCTGGTTTTGCCCTCCACGGGCGCCATCGTCAGTCTTCTGTTGCGCATTCACCCCCCTGGCAATTCTTTATTGCTCGTGTTCTTTTCCGTTTGGTGCGTTCCCCACAAGAAAGCAACTCACGAACTTTTGTTGTGCTGCTGTACAACTCGCAGGATCTTGTTTTTTGTCACCGATGATTGCCATTTTGGGTGCCATCTCGAGCAATGAGCGTCGATCTGGCACACGAATCATCGGCCTGGAAGCAAAGGATTCGATGGAATCATTCAAAACGTTCTTGCGAGCTAGTAGAGCACCGGTATTATCATAGCTATTTTCGAGTGTTGTAATCTACTAGTAGTCTACCAGTACCGTACCTTCTGCTGGCTACGGCAGCTGTATAATAGGAGTCGAGTCAAAAAGCAAAACAAATTATTGACACAAATGGGATATCCCCTTGCTCGGCACCAACGACAACACAAAGAGACAGATACATTGGCAACCAATTATTAAATTAGACTCTTCTACAGGCTAGCTAGCTGTATATACTGCTACCCGAGCTTCTTGTACCGTATGACCAGTCACTGGGTTGCCTTCTAGCTAGCTAGTAGTAGCTGACTGACTATACTAGCAAATACCACAAATCCACTCCCACATGCTTTCGTCTTCTTCATCACCTGGCAGCGGACTATCATCATACAAGTCCACCACTCGAAACGGTGACTTCCAGACAAAAGCTGCGACTTCTTCGCGACGTCGAGCATCGAGCTCTCGTCGCAACCAGTGCGCATAATCCGATTGCAGCATAACCGATAATGTGACGCAAGCATCTGGGTCATGCGACGAAACAATCTTCATGTCTTTTGGACTAGCCCCTTTGCCGTTAGGCTGGGCCTCCAACCCCATGAGAGGGACGTGCATGTGCGAGACACATCTTCGAGACTTGCCTCTTCGTTGCCGGTGCTCAAACAACCGAATCTCCAGAGATGGCAAGTCGAGAGAACCGCTTGGAGGTATTTCATGTTTCAGCTTTTCGCCAAGTTTGGGAGTGAAGGTTCTGTGACCTTCGTCCCAAGTAAGAAGGATGTTTTCCGTTTTGTTTGCAAAGCAAAGCTGGACGGTCCAGTTGGATGTTTGGCTCAGGCCAGAAGCATACAGCACAGCAATGGTAAGCAATGTCGGAGCGAAAGCCACCGGTCGATCCACTCGATACGGTGGTTCCAACAGAGCTACTTCCATTCCGTCCGGTCGCTGGAGTATGGCATGATTGTCCACAACATTACGAACGGCATAAATGGGCAGTTCCGCTGCCGCTTGAACCATCTTGCGCGGACGTGGAGGAGGCAAAACCCTTTGGAGAGCTTTGCATTTAGTATAAAAAGACTCGTGGCACATCTTCCGTAGAACCACCAAGGTAACTTTCCCAGTCCTTGTTGTGTCCCATCGGAGCAAGATGCCATATTGCATCGAGAGGAACCCCATCTTCAACTCGATGATGGACCGAGTCTCAGTAAAGTTAGGAAAGATTTCAGCAATCCGAGCAGGCCTTCGTTTCATGTCAGCCTTTCCCCTGTGTTTGGCGTCTTCTCCCAGGGCAACCCGTGTGAGCAAGGACATTTTATCTTTCAGTTTGAGAAGACAATGGTCTCGACCCTTGGCGCAAATGTTGGCCCCTGCGGGTTCTCCCTTGCCCTTATCCTTCTGGAGACGACATTGAGGGTGAATAAAGGACGCAGGAGAGGGCAGCTGTGCATCCTGAAGATCAGCCAACGAAATTCGCACCGCATCACTATCATCGCCTTGGTTGGTCTTGGTGTCGGTTGTTTTGCTGGTAGTGGTGGTGACCGTAGACTTACTGCTGAAGGACGAGTTGTAGCTGAGTCGTCGCTTCATAGTCTTTTCTTCGTTGCTAAAAGGCTTGTTTGTGATAGTTGGCATGACACGCCGATGTAGTTTGAGACCACGGGGTCGTTTGTGTCCTCGCTTGTTCTGATATTGCTTCCCTGAAGACTCAGGAGTTTCTTCATCGAGGAATGCTGATGATTCAAAGGAAGAGTTGACCGTGGAGGATGTAGAATGGTTGAGATGTAGCGAAGAAGAGTGGGTAAAGCTGAAACTGGAATTGCTGGAATCTAGATCTGTCGATCCCTTGGGATCATTGGCTCTCTTGGTTGCGTCTGCCATGAGAGACTCCAGCAGCTCATCGTGCAGCTTTGAATAGTCCAAGTACTGAGGGTCTGACTCTCTATGTGGTTCTAGCGGTATTCTAAGCGCATTATCAGTGCCCCCAAAGACCTTCTTTGGCGCATTCTCATCGCAACCAAAAAACTCTAAGCCAGATTCGACCCAGTCCATGATGACGTCCTTCTGAGGCCACTCTTCATGAGGGTGATCTCTACCGTGCGGCGTCATGGCCGGCACTCTACAATGTCTTCCTGCGTGGTTTTTCTATTCGAGAGCTGTTTATGGCTGAATGTAGATGGCGACAAGAGCAATGGAGTACCAGTACTAGTACTTTGGGGTCTCCTTCACTCACTGCTTCGTCGTGTTGACTGTTGTTGACAGCTTTAGACCAGCGTGGAGCAGAGCTTTGGGTCTTGTACCCGCTCCTCTCTTTCGTTTTGCCCTGATTCTGGGTTCAAAATAGTTTACCCAACGGATGGGCTCGTTACGATGCTTCCTACGGTCCGGCGCGCATTCTATCCTTTTTGGGTCGGAGCGGGAAAGATTTATGTGCATCGCCGTATGTGACATCACCAGTCACTGAGGAACCAGTAAATGGCTTACGCACACCTCCAAAAGCCGTTTCACCGCCCGGAACACTCACCGTAAGGCCGTAAGGGACAGTCAAACCATCCTCTCACAGCAGTGGCACTGATCTAATAATGAGCGGGAAGAACCTGCTCACAAGAGTGAGTGACAGTCGCTGTCACTCTTCCCTCGGAGGCAGACGGAGGCAGAGGCCCAAGGAGGTGCAGCAACTCCCACCTGCACTCCGTAGGTACGGTACCGGTGGAGTGGAACCACATCCCAGGTAGCGATTGCAGCCAGTGTGGAGTCTTGTTGAATGGTGCCCATGTGTAAACCTTCCTCGGTTCCAGATATGCGGAGTGAATTTGCTGTTGTATTATAGGTCTTACAGTGTATGCACAGGCTAAAACTATCGGAGCCAGTGCAATGTGATGCATTGGCTGGAGCATCTTTTCGGTTGCCTTGAGTACGCCAGACTTGGTTTGTCCTACGACTCTTGGGGGCGCCATCATGGTAACTCGAGCCGCACTGTCATTTCCAAATCTTACCGGTACTGGTACCGGCAGTACCTGGGATGCCCATTGCTTGAAAAATCAGCATCCTGGTGGCATGGGCTAAGATGAGGTTGAAATAATAGCACTACATGTACTATGGAAAAAGAAAGACCAGTTGTTGGTAACTGTAGCTACCAGGTTGCTTTGAAGCTACACTACAAACACCCATGACACAACAAAGAGCTGTCCAAGCTCCTAATCTACCACATGTAGCTATGTACAGCTCATAGTAGTCTAGCAAGTTGCTGATAAAAAAGTTTACCTTGTGCACAAGCAGCAAGGCCAAAGCCCTCCTGAAACCGGGACGCACACTCGCGCTAATTTCTAAGACTAAACTAATCCCGTTTCTACTCGGGTTTGCTGCTTCGTCGGTCATCGTTCTGTGCGTGCAACCACTTCTTTACGCTGTTGTTGTCTGTGCTGTCGCTTTTCTCGACCAAAAGTGCTGTTACAAACAACAACAAGAGGCCGCTTTGGGGTGGGCAGAACCTGCCGCAGTCCCACTTATATAGATCAGCAAACTACGGGTTCGAGTATCTGGGCTGTAGCTCTATAGCTATCTAGCTAGGCCGCTCAACGTCCACGACAGAATCCTTGCGACGAATCGCTTGTTGGCGTGGTTGTGTTGGATAGATTCGATTCTGTCTGTCCTTCTTGGATTGATTCGATCATCGAGTTGATTCTTTCGTTCGTTGGTTCAAACCGTATCGAGAACGAGAAAGCAAACGACAATCGACAGTACTGCGCCGTTAGATCAGTCTATTTAGCTAGAACGAGATAAGATGAGTCAAGCACTGAGACTGAGGAGGAATTCCCACTTCGACAGCGATAGCGACAGCGACTGGTGTGAGGAAGAGACCAAGGCACAGCCTCAAGACGATGATGACTGTCCTTGGAGAAGCGCTGTAGACCCAACGTCAGGGAAAACCTACTACTATCATAGCCAGACTCGAGAGACCCAATGGCGAAAGCCCATTGAAATGGCCAGTCGGGAGGAACGAGAAGCTCTAGCTGCCAAAGAGAGACGACAAAAGGATTTCTTTGCGGCCATGGAAGCGAATATCATGAAGAGCATTTCACAGGGAAACAAGGCTCCCGAGAAGCAGTCTCGGTTGGACATTGAGTTCGACAGTCGGATTATCCCCGACGACGAACCCCTCACGACAACTGGCGCCTCGACCAAATCAGGTCTGGCGAGTGTGTCGAATAGTAGCCACCACCGCCAATCTCCAACGAGACCGAAAGTCACGAGAACGACTTCCAGTAGTTCGAGGTCGCGAGCGGCACCGTCGCGGCCGAACTTGGTCCGGACGATCAGCTCGATGGACAACAGCGTGATACGACAACTCATCAACCGTGTCCCTTCCTCGCGACAACTTCGTTCCATGCCAACCGGTAGTAGCAGCATGGGCAGACAACCCAGCAATCGAAGTGTAGGCTTCGGATCCTCGCATCACAGTCGACAGGGAGGACGATTGATGTCCTCACGGACTTTGAATTCTCGGACGGCAGCTTCCCCGCGGATGGCGCCGTTGGCTATCAACAAAGCAAACCTTGCCAGGTCTGGCCTTACTGATGACGATGACGACGAATTACCTCCCCTCACGGTTGTCACAACACCAGACCTGAGAAAACGAGAAAGTATAGGAAAGGATGCCTTGGCGTCGCCGGCAGATCCAAGAGAGGGCTTGAAACGAGGGGAAAGTCTGACGCTAGATCAGCTGTCTTTTCATGGTGGCGGTGGTAGTGGCAGTGGTGGTGGGAATATGATGGACTCCCGGTTCATGGACGGTTCCATCGGGTCACATCTTTCCATGTCAAATCACAGTTTCCAATTCGATCCAAACGACTCGAGTGGCTTTCTTGGGCCTTTTACCAACTCTCAGAGATTGTCCGGTTCAGGGGCATTGTATGGTAACCACAGCTTCAATTCCCTTGGCTCTAGCGAACATAGCATGGGGCAAGGTATGGATGCATCAGCCCGGAGCATTCCTCTCATGCCAGTAGAAGAAGCCGTAGACGAGTCCGAGTACAGCAATCCAAAATTTGACGGGAGTCGCACTGAATACTTTCTAGACATGGGAAGAGACGAAGGAAAAGTTGGAGACGAAATACCCGAGGAAGGATCTTTCAGCTTGGGCGCTGAGGATTGGTTAGGTGCCCTCCCGCCAGATGAAAACGCAGAAAGTGAACAATTAGTTGGGTACGGGCCAAGTGCCAAACGATTCTCAGAGGCCGGCTTCACATCATTCTTTGACGAGTCAATGGCCAACTTTGATTTGTCGGACAAAGAAACACAGGCGCTGGTGAAATTGGCCGCGATTTCGGAACAAATGACAAAGGTTGCGGAAACCGACGATTCCGAATCAACGGAAGAGTCAGAAGAAGAAGACGATGATGACATGCCGGCCTTGAACGAGGCAAGCTCCGATTTTCCTCTCTTCCTGGAGGATTCAGAGGAGGAAATAGACGACATGTTATCCGAAGACGAGGCGTCGTCGGATGGAAACCAGTCGCCTTTTCACACACCCATAACATCCAGCACCACCAAGACAACCGGGACCAACTCAACAACATCTCCAGCCGCGAAAGCGTCAAGGGCTCCACCAGCGAGAGGACTGCAACGAACGAGCGTTCAAGGGATTACACATTCGCCCCTGATTGGGATTTCAAAATCATCAGCAGCTGGCAGAGGAATCGCACAATCTTCAGATGTCAGAGGGGCTAGACCCGGCTTGGGGACCAAGACAACTGATATTCCCCGAGCTGTGCGCAACAAACAAATTCGCGAGGCAGCGCTGCATGAGTCTGAGGATTCATCGCATGGTTCGTCCACTGCCGATGGAAGTCTGGGAGTGTCAGGTCTTGCGTTTGCGTCGGCAACTCTGACGATCGACAATGCAAGGAGCCACTACAACACAGAAACCCAAAACGCTCCTGGGCAAACTCATCGGCGCAATGACTTCTCTCCAACCAAAAGGAACCCGATGGAAGGGGAGTTAGCGAATAGTTCTTCGAGTCTGAATAGTGGCGGTTCCATAGCTATGGCGGATGCCGCCAGAAGGCTCTCCATGTTTCGCCTGAAAAATCTTGATCGAAGTCGACTGCGAGTCGCCGGCGAAGGCCACGGGGGGATGGATGGTTCAGTTGGAGACGCTGGTATTAAAAGTAGTCGTCGGAGTCTTCATGCAGATGATGCAGACGCAAAAAATGCAAAAGACGAGGATGGTCCCCGACCGAATTTGGTGCGCCGCAACACTTGCGGTACATTGTACGTGGGAACGACGATGTCAGCGCCAGACAAAGATGCAACCATCAAGGTATGTGCTTCCTAATAACGATCCCAAAATGCATTTGATGCCAGCCGTCTCACTTGTCTTTTCTCTTTGTGGCTTCTCAGTGTGTTTGCGGTGTTTTTCGGGCGCATATTCTACAGGCTGAAACGGATGAAGAGCCTGCCAACTCCATCAATTTCCGAATATTCAACGATTTAGAATCCCAGCAAGGCTTTGCGCGAAAACAAGAGAAGCAGCAGCGCCGTCCAAAATCGCTTCCAGTTCCCTCCTTGGAACAAATTACGACATTCTACAGAGACGTGTTCCAAAGGGCTCAAATGGAATACGACTGCATTATCATATCTCTGATTTATGTTGAACGCCTAATCAAAACTACCGGTGGTGCGCTGCGACCCAGGGCTTGCAATTGGCGTTCAATTCTGTTCAGTTGCATGGTTCTTGCCAGCAAGGTTTGGGATGACATGTCCATGTGGAACAAAGACTTTAGCCAAACTTGTCCAAATGGAGTTAGATTCTCCCTGAAGCGCATCAACGAGCTCGAAGTCGCAATCTTGTCAGCTTTAAGCTACAAGGTGAAAGTTCCAGCGAGCGAGTATGCGAAGTACTATTTCCTTCTTCGATCGATGTTGATCAAGAGTGGGCTTGGGGGAGACAACGATGACACAACAAGTCCGTTGGATGTGGAAGGGGCAAAGCGGCTTCAACAAGTGTCTGGTCGGTACCAGCATGGAATGGGTGCAACAAGAAGGCAAATGAGGAAGGTAAGATGCGACATTCGCTTGTAGTGATAGTTTGTTACGCGTGGACGAAACTAACAACAATCATCGTTGGATTCTAAAGGCAAAGTCTATGAGGAGTAAGAGTATGGGAGATGATGAGAGGGCGAAAATGAACAACGCAGCAAGATATTCACGCAAGAATAAGCTTTCGTTGGAACACGTTGTGAAAATGTAGGATGGGAGGACCTACACCACTGCGCTGTTTGTGCCTTGGCATGGGTGTCACGTCGTATTCAGCATCGTGAGCGTCTCACGACCTTCGGATTGGCTAGCTGTAAATCAGAGAATGAAAGATCATTTGTGATGTTATCCCGCTAGCTAGCTATTTTAATAGGTTGCGAGATGGGGCATTGAAAGCATGCTCTACTACTACTTCGACCCATGTATTCCGGTAAGAAGGAGTGGCTTGTGTTGGTAGTAAAACCAAAAGAGGGCCACCACAGGAGCCGATGCTTGCACAAGCAAACGAAGGGAACTTTGGGAAACCATCAAGGAGGCGGCGCCTGACGGGACCAGCAGCCACGACGGCCTTCTGCTCTGTCTTTGCTCTCTCATCGCCTTTACCTCAGCTTCAAGCTCTTCCCGTTGATCCTCGTTTTTGAGTCTCTGAGCGAATCTTTGACAGAGCATCTCTGACATTGCAAGTACGGTCATCATTGGGTTGACGGCAGTTGCAGTTGGAAACACACTGGCGTCTACCACGAGGAGATCATCACATTCCCAAGTTTCACCATTGCAATCCACCACTCCGGTCGCGGAAGAAGAGCTCATTCGGCAGGTGCCCATTTGGTGAGCGGAGAACATGGTAGCCTCGCACTCATTCAATCCTCGTTTGCTGATTTGCTCCAGTCCTTCTCGATAGGTTGAGTTGTTATCTGCTTTGTCGAACGGTTTGAGTTTGTTTGCCTTAATGCCTAAGTCGCCGATATGCGTTGTCCCACACTCCTCTGCTCCACACGCAAGTAGTATCTCAACGCCCCCCTTCATGGCTGCCATCATACTCTTCTTGTCGTTTTCATTCAGCTTGTAGTCCACGATAGGGAATCCATCAAAGCCCAAAAGGACTTTACCTTCGCTACTATCTCTTTGTAGCACTATCAACGAAACTGCATTGCGATAGTCGAGCATGTATCGTTCTATGGATAGCAAAAGGAGGAAGAAATGATTTATGAGCGAGGATATAGAGGACGTTGCAAAAGCATTGAGACTCTGACTCACTGAACAGTGACGGATCAGGACAATGAGCAGCACTTGCGGCCAGCCCCGGGTGAAGGCAAGGGCATTCGATCTTCGCTCCGTACCCATTGTTTAGATCTTCAAACTCTGTGCATACAGTCGTCATTGGCGCCCCTTTGAAACAATCCACCGGCTCGGGAAGACGGCCCGAAACCCCAGTTGCGGGGTGAAGCCTCAGGTGTTGACCGATGTGCTTGTTCTTGAATCCTGATCGTCGAAGAAGACATGGACTCCACAACGACCCAGCTGTTCCCAGGGACAAAGCGTGCGGTGAGGCTGGTGGAACAACCAAATTGCATGCATCGCTGCACGGGGGTCGTACATGTACTACGCCTAACTTACCCGCTACAATGACCGCCCTTCTAGCATTCACCTCGATAAGCTGATGACCTCGCTTGCAAAGAACACCTCGGGCCTTGAAGCTTCTGGTCTCGGAGGAGTACACCTTATTGATGCTCAGAGCTTCGCACCTGTCCAGGATACGAGTTCCATTCTTGACAGCTGCCTGTAGATAAACAACTCTTCCATCTCTTTTGAGCCCAGACCTATCTCCAAACGGGAGGTTGCCAGAAGCTTCATCCGTCGTATCAACATTCTGTCCTGTGCATTTCCACTTAAAGCCCATCCTGTCACAGCCCTCCTGGAACTTTTGATTGTTTTTGTTGTGTTGAATAGCTTTAGGATCAGTGGTTACCTCCATAGCTTCATAAACAGCCTTGAGGGCATCGTCAAACTCTCCGTGAGGCGAAAACTGCCCGAGATTGTGCTTTTGCACCCATTCTTGCCGCACAGAGGCCGGCAGAGGCAAGCAACAACTCCAATTAACTGCCGTTCCACCACCAAGAGTTGATCCAGAGATAATCGCAAAATTTCCATCCAGGCTAGTGACGAGGCCATGACCGTCATACAGTTCATCAAATGCTTTTCCTTCCGACAGCGAGAGCTTGTCCGGGGACACGTAAGGGCCCTTTTCCAACACCACAACATCATACCCCGCCTCTGAAAGAATCTTTGCAGCGACACCGCCCCCTGCACCTGAGCCAACAACCACAATGTCACAGTGGATCGATAATTTGCCATTTTCTTGTTCCATTTCATCAACCTTGAGATCCCACAATAGAGGAACATCTGGACTAACCAAATCCTTTGCGGGAGTCTTCAAGCTGGGAGTTTGGTACCCAAGAGCCTTGCAGAAAGGGTTATCTTTTCCATTTTTCTTTTGGTAAGTGAACGCCAAGTTGAAAACCAACCTTTTGAGTGACTGATAGGCTTGCCTTCTTTGGAGCAATGTCGAGTGCTGCATCCGTAACAGCCCCGACACACGCTCTTCCAATGGCCATTCCACAAAGGATCTTCCATCCATTGATCCAACCAGCAGTATGGTTCCTGGAATGCTCGAGAGGCAAGTCAGGACCCCCAGCATCAACAACCTCTGAGTAGGGGTGAGTTTTTTCAACACGACTGTTGCAATGACTTCCATAAAGTCTTCATCTTGGGATAATTGATATTGCCAATATTCTATGATGACGGCATCCTTTGTTTCTTTCGGGGCCTTGATGGGTGGAAGCAATCCATCAACGACGCTCAAGAGTGCTGCCACTTGTCCTGATGTAAAGCCATCCCTCCAAGTGCTTTCCGTCATGGTCCGATCTTCTTTCGCATCCATTACAAAAATGAGGAGGGAGTGGCATAATCTTTACCAAGCCGACGATCGACAGCTATGTGTAACGAGAAAAGCAAACCTGTCAGGACCTAAATTTCCTAATTGTACGGAATTTGCCTGGAGTGTGGCCGAAGTCTTGATGTCATGCTTGATCTTTCTCGAGAAAGATGATGAAGCCCGAGTTCCCGATGAGTGATGTCAGTCAGCAGTAAACCAACAAGCCAAGTGAGCTGTAAACTTTACTGAGGCTGCTCTGGCCGCTCAGGTTGGGTCCTTTATTTCAAAGTGACCCCAGTCTTTTAGCGGAAGCTGTCGCCAACTAAACGGGATCCTTTTTGCTGCTACAATACCCACTATCAACCATGGCGAAGAGCGAGGTAGCGCCTCGACGGTCGAGTCGAAACCGCGGCGGTCGTGGCCGCGGCAACAACAACAACAACAATAGCAACAATTCAGCTCCTGCAAAGAAGGGCGGCCGAGGTGGAGGCGGCGGCGGCGGCGGCGGAAGCAACAAGAAAGCTGCACCGGCCAAAGCTGCAGCTGGCAAAACCGGCAAGAACACTGGAGGTCGAGGCGGCGGCGGCCGAGGAGGTGGCGGCCGAGGTGGTGGTGGCCGAGGAGGACGAGGAGGCCGCGGCAACAATAGCGACCGCAAAGGTGGAAGAGGTGGCCGAGGCAACGCCAAAGACAAAGGCGCAGCTAAAAAACCACAGCCTCCCAAAAAGGCAACCGAAGAAGATCTCGACAAGGCCATGGATGATTATTGGATGAAGAGCGGCAACAAGGAGGTCGCATCCAAAAAGTTGGATGATGACATGGACGACTATTGGTCAAAGAAAAAGGATTCCAAGGAAGAAGCTGAGGGGGATGCTGACGCGGAAAAAGAGGGAGAAGCTGCCGCCGCGGACGAAGGCGAAAAAGCTGAAGAACCCGAAAAGGAATCCTAGAGAGCAAGCAACAGCTATATGCTCCATGTTGTTTCATTTGTATCCCCAAGGAAGTCTCTGTGTTATCGTGAGATTTTGAGATTTCCTCCGTATTCATGTTAAAAGGGCAATCCAACAATAATAAAAAAACCGGAAAGTTATTTCAATCAATCCATGGAAGCCAAATGGGCAAAGAAGACTCTTGAACACGGCAAAAGCGTTGAAGAGTTTGTACCACTTTTCAGTGAGCATCCTCAAGATTTTTCAAGGGGGATACGAAGACTGCTTGCTGTTTTCTAAAGATGGGTTTTGTTGTATGAGTTTGGTGTTTCTCTGACCCGGAAGGAAATTAAGAAGCCTCTGGGTGCTGTCCTTGAGGGGGGAAATGGCAACTTGCCGATTTGTCAGAATGTAAATGTCCCTGTGTGGGTGAGTTGTCTTTCCTGACTCTTTTGAGGCTACAAGGATTGGAATGATTCAATCAATAAATGGGCCCGTCAAAAGGGAAAAAGTTGTTGATTCTAGAGTTGCCAGTTCTTTCTCGTTCTTTTGAAGGGCAGCTGCATCCCTCTACATGTCGTAGTTTCCTTTTGACTACCAATCGCGTCGGTACCGATCTAGACTGGAAAAAATCAGTGCCAAATTGCCTCGGTTGCCTCGTGCTACAAGGTATCAATTGAGGAGCTACCAGTAAGGTACAGAAGCACTGCTTTAGAGAAACTCTAGCCAGTAGCTAGAAACATCAAACTCACAGGGTGCCTGGATGGTGGGTTCACTGTTCCCAGCGCTCATTCAGAAACGCAATGCTTTGGGTGAAAACATGTTTAGTACTGGAAGAAATGCAGCCTACCAGTTGCAGTCTCAGAGGTCTCATGACGGGCATTGGCACTATTGACCGTCTGTCAATGTGAGAGCATCGACCTTCGCTTGGGCCGATCCTTTCCTTCGTGCTCTCATTGCTCTGGAGTGATTGCCGCCCTTTTTCAGCACAAGAAATTGAAACAGTGGACAATGCAGTCGTTTCAAATGCACCCATCACCTCACCAGGAGATCTACAACAGGAAAACTTAACCTGGACGGACTTCGGGACAAGCTCTCGAAGACAAAACCATGCTTAACTACAGGATCTACGACCAACACATCATGGACCTACATAGTACGGCAAAGCGAGGATGATTTGTCTTGGGAGTTTTGCCCTCGGAATGTTTAAAATAGAGGGATCAGACCAGACAAATCTGGTGTAATAAGCCTTACGTGTCATCAATGCATTTTCGTCGATGAAACTCTCTTGTATCATAGGCAGGGCCGCACGAAAACAATAAATCACTAAATTGGCTACGGTACAGTACTACCGGTACGTTGTATACTCCGATTTGCCGCAGCGAGTTCGCTTACGGAAAAGCCACCTCGGAGCGGATTGGAGCTTCTGCAACAGGTGTTCTTCGGCGGTGGGAAAAGACATCTTTTTTGTTGCTGCCATCATCCATCCAGCAGCAGAGGTAACCATCACAACCAAAGACAACAACCCTGGTTATTATCTTCGAGTATTTTCCCCTCTTTTGGCGTTGTGTTAATAGCCATAAAACCAAGCCAGAACAAAAAACTCCCGAAGTTCCTCTTGTTGAGCGAGTCTTGTAGATCTCGACGAAACCATAAACCTCGACCCTCTGTTGCAGAGAAACCACCATCAGTCAGATTTTCCTTCATACAGACATACCATCACTTACGGTACTGAATCGAAAGCCATCCAGAGCGTTGCTGTGTTTGATTATGTTAACCTGAACAAACTACAAGACCACTACTGTATACCCGCAAATCCCAACTACCGTACAGGAGAAAGCATTGCAAGCAAATGTTCTTGGCCGAGGACGGTAGCAGGATGGGGAAGCAATTGGTGCGCATGGCTAGTAAAGCTAGCAGCTGTCGATCATGGTCATCCATTTCCACCTCGGCGTCCTCTACCGATCTGGCTGCTTCAGAGCCAGTGCCGTCCACTGCGATGATACAAGCCTTGATTAGGGATTTGAGCTTCTGGGACTTGATCCCTCCGGTCATGGTGCAGGATACCTTTCCCAGTCCGCTGCCCAAACGGCCACTGCACATGCAATCACAACAACAACAATGCAATCAGCCTCTCCTGCAACGAGGATCCAGTGTTCGAGAAGATAGGCGACGCAGAAGCAATGAACGAGAAAGGCCCAGGGGCGATGGCACCAGCAAAGGAACCATTAGTGATCACAACAATAATCCCAATTGGAGACCCGAGCCAGTGTGGAAAACAGCTACAGATCCCATGACGGGAAGAACCTACTATTATGATGCTGTTACCCGACGAACGCAGTGGGAAAAGGTAAGAACTTGGGTTTGTCTGGAGTTTTTGGTTTCACGGAAGCACCCATATCTCATGTCATTGCTGCTCCTTTAACGTGCCATCGATACCGTAGCCCACGGAGGTTCGCCAAATGGAGAAGCAAAAGAAATCGCAACGCCGTAAACGAAATAAATTGTTCTTTCACGAGATGGAATCCAACATCCTGAAGAGCCTTAGTCGAGGGGAGCTCATACCCGGAATCCCCAAGGCCAAGTTGGAACCTACCGGACCTCCGCTTGAGCCTCGAAATGCCAATCGCAATTTCCGAACACTCTCCCGCATGGATGACACCATCTTGGCAGAGTTAAGGGATGATGTCGTGACTCCAGAAGAGTTCGATCAGGCTTTGCGGCAGTCGATGCGGTCCACCACCACCAAACAACCGCAGCACCAACGAAGCAACTCGCGAGGACGACCTCCTTTGCCAGAACCGACACGATCGATGGATCGAAGGTCTCGCAGCCGATCGCGGACGCAACGACAAGCTGCAAATAATACTCATGGCGAGCCGTCGTCGGAAACCACGAGCACTCGAACGGCCAAAGCTCTGGTGGCGAGTCGCCATCTGCCACCTCCGACGGGACGATCTTCCAAGCCGCTCCAACAGCATCCAGAGGGCGAAGATCCCGCCATGGCGGATGCTCTCGCGGGAGAGCATTTGCTCGATGGCACGATTCAAGCCGAGATTCGAGCTCTTGCGGGTGGCGACGGTGACGACAAGTCAGAAGCAGTCATCACGATTAACAGCAAGAACCATGTCCGTCGCAACACGGGAGGAACCATCTACGTGAATGGGACCATGTCCAATCCGAATGTGGAAGCGACCATCAAGTGTGTCTGTGGAGTGTATCGGGCTCATTTGGTACAGGCATCCGAAGAACGCAACAAGCATTCGCCCGTGTCTGTCATGGCTAATTTGGACATCTTTAATGATTTGTACCACATGCCACCGTCAGTTCGCAGGAATCTCGCCAGTAGCAGTTTCACGCAGGAGTCACTCCCAAGTCTGGCCGACATTGTGGAATTTTACCAGGAGTTTTACCGACGCAGTCAAATGGAATTTGACACCATCATCATGTCACTCATCTACGTCGAACGACTCATCAAGACGACCAATGTTGTTCCTGGACCAACCAATTGGCGCTCTGTCTTGTTCTCCTGCATGGTCTTGGCCAGCAAAGTATGGGACGATTTGTCCATGTGGAACATTGATTTCTCCAATGTCGCTTCGGCCAACTCCAGCAATAACCAACAGGCTCCAGGACTCTCCTTGTTCACCTTGCAGCGAGTGAATCAGCTGGAATTGGTTCTCTTGAAGAGTCTCGGTTTCAATGTCAGAGTGCCCGCGAGTGAATACGCCAAGTATTACTTTTTGATTCGCACCATGTTGCTTCGAAGTGGACTCCTCGAAGGGGCGGCCAAGCCGCTGGGCAAAGAAGAGGCCAAGGTATTGGAGAATCGTACGAGCCAGTATCAAGACTCCAAGCTCGGCAAGCAACAACGTGACCGACGCACCAAGAGCATGTTTGATTACACCTGGATGGACAAGCCATCGAATCGACAATCTGAAGGAGAAGGAAGCGGGCAGTGCGGTGGCCCTGTGCTCAAGGACAAGGTTTGCTTAGAGCAACTCGTCAACATGAGATAGACGTGAAACAGAAGAAAAGTGAATCAGTGTACATTCTGAAAAATTGGATTCGATGTGTAGATTGCATGGATGGATGGATAATAAATTGCGATCAAATGCGGTGAACGGCGGCAATCACTGCTACGAGGACAACATACACTACCTTGGACAGCAAGATGTTCAAGGACGTCAAGTTAAATTCATTACAGTAAACATAGATTTTAGACATCAGTCGTTGTGGTAATATAGCCATTGAAGAGCGTCTGTCAAACTTTCCCTGGAACTCTCAACATCGTATTTTATTGCCTGTTCAGAAAACCCCGATTGATCGAGATCACGCACGCTAGCAAACAAACAAAAGAAAGTGGCGCATACCGGTACCTGGTCCGGTCCTCGTATCTTCAAACAATTTCAGCTAAGGGTGACTAGACTCTACATGCATTTGATGTACCGGTATGATTTCCTGCAGACCCAAATAGTGATGATTGAGGTTCCTACTGTATTGCTACCTCATCTTATTACGCCACTATCTCTGAGGCTGGCTATCTCCAGTTCATCCATGGAGAGAATATCTCTTAAAACTTCTTCCGTGTGCTCTCCAACAAACGGTGGTGGTGATTCCACTCGTTCCATGGAACTGCCTGACAGCTTGAGAGGAGAGCCAACCATCTCAATGGAGCCCAAGATATTTTGTGCTTCGTCTTTGAAGGTCAATTCTTGCACAAGACCTCTGGCTCTAATGTGTTCGTCGTTCAATGCCTGACCCATGTCATTGATCGGAGCAGCTGGAACTCCCACCTCCAGCAACCTTTCAACCCAACTAGTAGCAGTTTGCTTCGAGAACTCTGTATTGAGCAAAGCCATGAGTTCTTCTCGATTTCTGACTCTGGCTGGATTTGTTGCAAATTTCTCGTCTGTGGCCCATTCTGGATGTTCCAATAGTGAAGCAAGCTTGGCAAATTGACCATCATTTCCACAAGCAATGACAAAATAACCATCCGATGCCGTGCAGTCTTGGTACGGGACGATTGTTGGGTGTGCATTGCTCATTCTGGTGGGTACTTGCTTTGTCGTCAGATAGTTGCTGGCAATGTTCACAAGGGATGAAATTTGGGTATCCAGAAGGGATATATCCACATGCTGTCCAACTCCAGTCTTTTCTGCCTGATAAAGAGCCGCCAAAACTCCATTCCCAGCAAACAAGCCGGCAATGACGTCGGAAATAGCCACGCCCACTTTTTGTGGTTCACCAGATGCTTGTCCTGTAATTGACATGAGACCTGACATGGCCTGAATAGCAAGATCATAGCCAGGTCGGTCCTTGTAGGGCCCAGTCTGTCCAAAGCCTGTTACGCTGCACATTATCAATGCAGGATGGATCTTTGAGACAGTCGCATAATCCAGGCCGTACGAGCCCATACCTCCAACCTTGAAGTTTTCTACGACAATGTGTGTCTTGGGATCAGTGACTAACCGCTTGGCCACCGCTGCACCTCGTTTATCTTTCAAGTCCAATGCAAGACTCTTCTTGTTTCGATTGACGCAGGCAAAGTAGGCACTCATTCCCTTGTCTTCCATGCCGTGAACAAACGGTGGGCCCCATGCCCGAGTGTCATCTCCCCTTTTTGGATGCTCGATCTTGATGACTTCTGCACCAAGGTCGCCCAGCATCATACTGAGGAAGGGACCTGCTAGAACCCGCGAAAAATCCACAACACGGACCCCGGTCAGCGGCTTTTGCAGCTGTTGGGTTGCCATGGTCGATTTCTGCCAGCATGGTTTTTGGTTTTGCCTTTTTGAAGTTTTGAAGGCCCTCCTCTTCGGAAATCCGGAAGCACACTGTCTCCTCTTCCGCAACCCGTACCGGTACGATACGGTACAGTCGTACCTAAATGTTCTGATAGCTAGCTATGTCATAATCATAGGTATTAGTACCGGTACTAGCCGGATGTACCGGTACGAATCTTGGCATGGGAGCTCACATCCATGCTCCGAAAAGCCTTTGCTTTCCCTTGAGATTGAGGAGAACCGAGAAAGTTTCGTCATATATATCGAGGTTTCGATGCATGCCTAAGCTGCTGGTGGTTCTTGATTGATTCGATTGATCATTCGATTCGTCGAGAAGGAACAGAGTTGCGAAAAGAGAATATTGCTGGGTTCCTGGGATGCATGTCTAATATTTGTTGGGGAACAGCTGGACGAATCGAGTGAGGACAAGCCGGACTAACTCAGCCCAACTGGAGCTAGGAAGTGGTTGGGAAAATCCGATGAACGGAACAGGAACATGCCCACCATTTCTACGGTACCAAGCCAAGGTTCTTTCAGTGGTCTACGGTATGGTTGATGAGATATCAAAATTGAATGTCTAACAGTTGAACATCTACAATGGCATGGATCGCAACTGGATTGGATTGGTAGAAAATATGAACAAACAAAACGAGGTTTGTTTGGAGGTGGTAACATTTCTCCTTTGATCACGTGCTTGGTTTAAAAGACGCCCGCGTACAGAGTCTTGACACGGCAAGGGTTTGTGCGAGGCAGATTGTCATTCGTTCCATTCACCAGTTGTCTTGCATTTGCGTTCTCTTGGACAGCGTTTGGTTGTCGTTTGGCCTCTTCAAAGGCATCTCCCGGAGTTTTGATGTAATATAGCGAATCGACATAGGAAGGTGCCCCACGAGGATTGTGTTCGCCGCTTCCAACCGGAGGAGCAATCCAATACTTTTTTGGATTACCTTGTTTGGCTTGAGCTCTCTTTTCGTGCGAGTCTTTGGTTTCGTCGGCCAACCAAGTGGCGGCTTCGGTGCCCAACCGTTCCTCAAGTAAATCAGCCGCATGCTTGCCCTTGACAAACATGACTTTGGATCTGACGCGTTCATCTAGCAGTGGCGAAACCAGTTTCCAGAGGCCATTAAATATCATGGGGGCATCAATGAGCACCACGCAATGCAACATTTCTGGATAATGCTGTAAGAGCTGTGCTACCAGAATGGCTGACTTTGGATCGGAATCTCGAAATCCAAAGCCATCAAAGTCGGCTACCCAGACACAATGTCTGGAATCGGCCGTTTGATTCAATCCATTCTTCCGGCGTTGTCTCAAAAAGTTGCAACTGGCTTCTAGCAACAAGAGTACGTGTTCAATGTTGGCGTCGGCATCCCATCGATCATGGGCTTCACTGAAGCGAGTGTAGCCAATGGGACGTCCATCGGCATCGTATCCCACGACGCGCATATTGAGTGCCAAGGGATTGTTCAAGCACTTTGGGGATTGCCAGAGTTCTGTTTTGCGTGGATTGGTGGTAGCACGCCATTGCAACGTGGAGACGAGCTGTTCTTGTGCCTTCTCAAGACTCCACTGGCGAGCCACGAGGTAGCGACGACAGGTTTCCAAGTCACAAAATTCGGCGTCCAGCGGTGAGAGAGCCTCGCGGTATGGAGTGACTCGTTCGTGGAGCTCTTGAATAAGAAATAGTTGGTCTTTGGAGAGTGGTGCATCGAGTCCATTTCCATTGAGAGCAATGTCGCACTTTTCGACCTCTGGATATTCGTCCAGATCGGAATGGACGCTGCTGGTGCTGGTGGTATAGGAGCTGGCGGTGGTTGTTTTGTTGTTGAAATTCATGGTCATTGTTTTATGGAGATAATGACAACTTGGTGTAGCTCTCACTGTCAATGCTATCGACTAAAGATAGACCAGCAGGGCGCTTGGAAATTGTGAGGCTCCAATAAGGTTTAATCGTACAGCGGTGCTGCGATGTACATGTATGTGTACTAGCTAGTTGTGAGCGGTACCAGTACCGCTGTGAGTGATGTGGAGGTTCTCTGATGTCGGCAAGTCCCAGCGAAAGAGTGAGAGAGCCGCAGTGAGAGCGTCATTGTCATGTTTCACGATTCAAAGGATACAGTACTTTTGGGAGAGAACTGACAACATGTTTTGCAAGCGGAATGCGGAGGGGCACTGATGAGGAGCTCAATAGTCATTCCCTCTCTCACCATTCATCATTCGACAACGGTTTGACAGTCCATGGCACTTCGATCGAGAAGGACTCAAGTCAATACTACGCTAGCTACCGGCAGTCTAGTAATAAGGCCCGCATAATTGCCAAGGGCACAAGCTTGTCTTTCATCAGAGGGAGGGAGAGCAGATAACGAGGGAAAGCCGGACAATTCATCATTCTCTGTTCTTGATTTTTCCAGTACTTTCTCAAAACTAAAGGCAGATCACACGTTTGACCGACACCTCTAGACCACGACAACAATATCATCAGCATCATTATGGGAACGCAGCAAGAGGCAGCACTGCAACAGCAGACGGATGAATTTGGGCGCATAATTGTGGGCGGTGGTCAGCCGGCCACCACCAAATCCATGACAAGCAGCAGCAGCAGTAAACCAGAAGCGCAGCCGGAAAGCAATGGTTATGGAAACGACTATTACGGCGATAACTACTATGGAGATGCCAGCCGTCATTCCTATCGAAACAACGACGCCGATGAAAATCCTCTACAAGCAGGAGTTGTCGTGCAAGGCCGAGTGGTCCGAATAGAAACCTACGGAGCCTTTCTCGATTTTCAATTGTCTCACAGCACTAATCGCAACGTCAAGTACCGAGGCTTGATTCACATTAGTCAAATGGCTCCCCATCGAGTGGAAAAAGTGGAGGATATCGAAATGATCAAAATGCAAAACACAATCTACGCTGTCATTTTGGAAGTTACGCCAGGATTTGGTGGTCCAGGACGAGAAAAAATTCGATTGTCGCTCGTGGGGGTCGACCAACAATCCGGGATCTTGACACAGCCTATTATGCCACCACAAGACAACTACAATAACAATCATCAGTATCGCCATGAAAGCAGACGAGGTGGTGGTGGTGGCGACCGCAATAGTCGATTCTTGGAAGAGCGCGCCAAACAACGCAGAATAATGTTCAAAGACATGGTGGATCGAGAGGGAATCAAATGGTGGGGACATGAACGGGCATCCTCCAAACAACAACAGCAACCCGAGATGGGAATGCTGCGATTAATATGGTCCTCTAGTCCAGAACCACCCAGCAATGTTCCCACCGCAACCACCAAAGAAGCCGCTAAAAAGAAGGCACCCGACAACAGCAGCAAGACAAGCAACAGTAAACCAAAAAAGAATGGAAAGAGTCGCCGTGACAAATCTTCTGACGACAGTTCTTCCGAATCGGAAGATTCTCGGGATCGCCGAAGCAAAAGGCGCAAACGATCCAGCAATAGTCGGAGCAAACGAACCGCCAACGGTCGTCGAAAGAGTCGTCGACGATACTCTTCCAGCAGCAGCAGCAGTAGTAGTTCTTCTAGTAGCAGCGACAGCAGCAGCAGTGAGTCGTCATCCTCCTCCTCCAAAGACTCGACATCTACAGATGGTAGCAAACGCGACAACAAACGAGCCAAGACAAGTAGTACGGATGACAACGACAAACCAGTTGAAAAACAAGCAACAGCGCAAGATGACGCACACATTAGTACGGAAGATTGGAAAGAAGCGAAAGAAATGAAGGCTGCTGTCCAAGGCAACAACGATGATGACGAGGACGATGATGATTTTGGCCCTGCCCCGCTTCCACAAGCAACCGGCGGCGCGGGTGGAGGTGTTGGAGGCACCGATGGGTATGGTAAAGCCTTATTGCCAGGGGAAGGTCAAGCCCTTGCACAGTACGTGCAGCAAAACTTGCGTATCCCGAGGAGAGGAGAGATTGGGTACCAAGGTGATGAAATTGAGAAATTTGAAGACTCGGGGTATGTAATGTCCGGAAGTCGTCATGCAAGAATGAATGCCGTCCGTATTCGAAAGGAGAATCAAGTTTATTCGGCAGAGGAACAACGTGCTTTGGCCTTGATTACCATGGAAGAAAATCAGCAAAAGGAAGCTCAACTCATGGAAGATTTTCGTACCATGCTCAAGAGTAAGAAGGCTGTCATTACCAGTAGAGGCAAGGGCAAAGCTGACGAAGGTGGTGATGGCTAGCTCTTATAGATTTGCTTGCATTGGTATCTTGCTAGCTACACGGACATGGCTACTTTCAATATCTATGGTGCCTCCTCAACTAATGTTAATTAAATACCTATAGGCTATAGGAACAATCTATGAAGCTTCTCTGCTGACCACTTTCTATGATACTTCGTAAAAGTGTGCCATCGTTGCTTGGACCGCGAAACCAACACCACCAGAACCTCTCTGGGTGCGTTTGAGTCTTCTTTCGGAACCGAAAATTAGACAACGGGAGTCAGTTGGCAACTTTGCAGGCTGGAGTCAAGTCCTGCGAAGCCAAAAGAGAGGCACGGTGCCAAATGTGCCATTGAACAAATCGGATCCTGCATGGAGTTGGAAGGTGACGGCCTAGCTAGACCACTTTTGCTGTCACGGGATCTTTAGGAAGGACAAAGCGCGATTTTGTTTCAATGAAAGGGAGTTGAGTTGACAAGCAACACAGAGAGCAATCATGGGAAAGGAGAAGCCAGAAATAGAAGAAAAGGACCGGGTCCTTGTGACCGGCAGGCCAGCAACCCACAGACCAGACAACAAGGTTGTGACCTCACGCTACACCGCAGCGACATTTCTGCCAGTGGTGAGTTCAATTACTTGTTGCGACATGACAATGGACAGAATAGAATAGAACCCATGGATTGTTTTGTGTCGCTCATTGTTTTTGTGCTCTTCTCGTTAGGCAATTCTGGAACAATTCCGGCGTTTTGCCAATCTCTACTTTCTCTGCGTTGGATGTATCATGGCGATCGGTTACTACACACCGGCATTCGATTCAGCCATCAATCCCTGGACAACACTGGGACCCTTGGGTATCGTTGTTTCCTTCAGTTTGATGGTGGAAGCTTCAGCCGACATTAAGCGACATAAGAACGACGAGGAAACAAACAACGCAACCTGTGTCATTCTGCGAAGAACTGAGGAATTGGAGGCTGAAGAAGGCGCTGAACGTGACGAAGAAATGGCAGATGGAAAGGATGTAGTAGTAGACGTCAACACAACCTACATGAGAGCAGGAGACACGGCTGTCGACAACCGACCCGAAAAACCCAAGGGAGATTCCGCCCGAATCAGCTTTCAAAAGGTCCGCAGAATGGACATTCTGCAGGGACAAATCATCGTAGTCAAGAATCGAGAAATGGTCCCTGCAGATATGATCCTGATTGCCAGCAGTAGCGAAAATGGCAGCAGTTACATTGAAACAAGCTCCATCGATGGAGAAACCAATCTAAAACTCAGAACAAGCCCGCATCTGCCAACCAAACTTCTGAGACACTTGAAACACGGTACGCCGATGGATGAGATGGAGCCGATTGCCGAGGGTGACGAAGATGATTTTTCAGGTGGCACTGAGACCTTGGAGGAAGCCACCAGACGAGTTAGTCGGTTTTCCTCTCTCTGCCTTCCCAAGGGAGTTTGTGTTTTGAGAAATCCTGACTACAAAGGTGTCACGACACTCGACGATGCTGGCAACGATGGAGGAGATGAAGAAGGCATGTTCTCAGCATTCAAACCTCATATGGTGGAAGCTGTGAAGAAATACACCGACAAAGATGTACCAGTCGACAAGAACACAAAATATGTAGCAACGCTCACATCCGAGCCACCCAATCCTCACGTCAACACTTTCACGGGAAAGATGACGCTGCCTCCCGTTGAAGAGAACGGCGAATGCTGGGATATTCCATTGGGGGCTGAAAACATTTTGCTCAGAGGAGCTGTCGTACGCAACACGGAATGGGTCCTAGGACTGGTCGTCTTTACGGGGACAGATACCAAGCTGGTCCGCAACTCTTTCGAAACCCCTTCCAAGTTCAGCCAGCTGGATAAGCTGATGAATCAGACAGTGTTGTTGATCCTCATGCTGATGGCAGTCATCATCTCGTACTTATCAACCCAATCGGTGGTTACGACGAGAAGAAAATTCGACCATTTGTGGTAAGGCTGGTTCCTGGAAATGGAATGGATTCGTCGGTGTTCGCGTACAACGTCTCACTTCATTTCCTGTCCAAATGCAGGTATGTCGGGCTCAATGAAAATACTAGCGAACCATGGCCATATCTTCCAGATATGGATGCACCTGCATGGGTCCCGACGCAAAAAAACTGGGTCCAAATGTTTTTCTTGTTTATCACGCTGCTGAATAACTTGGTTCCTTTGAGTTTGTATGTCACCGTCGAATTCGTGACATACTGCAGTCTCTTTTGGGTGTGGGCGGACCTAGACATGTACTGCGACCAAACAAACACACGGGCTGTTGCTCGGAGCACCATCATCACTGATTTGGGACGAGTCGAGTATATATTTTCCGATAAGGTAAGATATTCATGATCTGAACCAAGAAGAAAACAATCAATGGGTGGATTTCTGACGTTTGTGTCCATACTCTTTGCTTTGTCTGCTCGATCTCTTCGTTTTTTACCGTCTATCTTTCAACTCCAACAACGATTCACGCAATCATTAAGACTGGAACGTTGACACAAAACGTTATGCGCTTCAAGCGCTGTTCAGTGGATGGTATGATGTTTGGATCGCCAATTACAAAGAGTAAGCCAGGTGCTGACGAAGCTCCTGCATCAGAGTTTCACCCCTTGAAACGCCTGTTGGTGGGAAACGTCAAGCTCCCCATGGCAAGCGGGTTGCAAGGCCTGGGGGCTTCCTCAGGAGAATACGAAATCAAAGCCGATAAAAAGCTCACACTGAACGCAGAGATGTTTATTCGTGTCTTGGCCCTCTGCCACACAGTCGTGGTGGAGAAAGATTATGACATGAAGAAGAAAAAGGCTGAAGACGGTGGGAAACCAGCAGAAACCGCTCCGATGGTTCTAGGTGGTCCACAAGGGCCTGATGGCGCGCCCCTTGGCTTTGCCTACCAGGCCGAGAGCCCAGACGAAGGTGCATTGGTTTCCGCTGCCAGCAAAACTTTCGGCTTCCAAGTTATCACCCGCGACTCCAGTGGTATCCGTCTATGTGTGAAGTGTCCCTCTCACCTGCGGGACCCTGCAATTGTCTCGGCACTCAAGGATGGTTCAAAGACCCTCCTCAGTCTTGCTGCCTCCAGCGCTACGAACATAGATTACAGCGACTCTCCTGACGAAGAGGTTGAGGTGGTCACCGAAGAAACTTGGGAGATTCTTGCAGTGAACAAATTCGATTCCGACAGAAAGAGGATGTCGATCCTACTGCGTGCCCCATCCGAGTTGGGATCACTCCCAGTTCTCTTCTGCAAAGGAGCAGATTCGGCTATGCTCGACAGGGACGTTTGCACTGGACTACCTGCTGAAGACGATGACGCAAAGCTTGCCCAAAGAGCTTTCTCGCGAGGTAGGAAAGGTCATGAAACCGAGGATGAGTGGGAAGTGGCGCAGACGTTAGGGCTACAAAGCCACCTTGGAGATTTTGCACGTGAGGGACTGCGCACTCTGGTGTTGGGAATGCGAATTTTGACGGAAGATCAATGTGCTGAATGGCTCACAATGTTCAAAGAGGCAGCGACGTCTTTGAAGGACCGTGATGGCATGCTGACTGCAGCCGCAAAGGCAATTGAGACTCAGCTGTACATTGTGGGTGCAACGGCGATCGAAGACAAGCTGCAGGTGGGAGTGCCGAACACAATCGCGACGCTCGAGAATGCTGGAATCAAACTCTGGGTGCTGACTGGGGACAAGAGGGAAACCGCTGTCGAAATTGGCTATTCTACTCACGTCCTCACGGATAAGATGCACTTGACACAAGTCCCGGATAACGGAGAAGGGCATGTCCGAACTCAAATGAGCATGGAATTCATCAGACTGGTGAAGCTAGGGAAGCTGCCTCTCTACCAGCGTTCCATTGTGGACGAAGAAGAGAAAATGAGTTGGACGAGTATCAAGTTTTCCCTTGGAAAGTGCTACCGAGCCTTCACACGATCTCTTCGGACTTGCTTCTACAGTATTTTTTTCACGTTGGGAATATGGAAAGATTGGGCGGAAGGTAAACTTGAGATCATCAAAGAAGAGGAGAAGGGCGAAGAGCTACTCGTTCCAGATCGTGTGCGAATGAAGAGAGTACGCGACCGTGCTGATGAGGTTATCAAGGATTGGTTGAAATCTGCCGAGGGAGTCCGGCAGCGTAGGAAAAGCGCTCATCAGAGCCACGTCTCGGTTGACGACGCTGCATCGCTGGCGTCGGAAGAGGTACCCCGCGTGTTCTCGCGAGCCACGTCGGCAAGGAATATGCTTTCTAGTCTTTCTGTTGAAGGCGGTCTTTCGCAAAATGAAAGGCGCTCGCTTTCGCTGGCCCATGTCACTGCAGCGAATGCTTCCCGGGACGATGATGGACCCATCGTCGACGAAGACACCCTTTCAATGGCCAGCTTCTTTCCGGACCCCAAGGCCAAAACCAGAGGCGATTTTGACCGGAGGAAACGAACGTTGCTGGAACGTCTTTTCGCTGTTGACCGCGATGTGCGAAAGGGCAAGCTCATGAAGCACATGAACAGCGAGCGACTGGCAACGATTCTGGAACAACAACAACACGGACCTGGTATTAATGTCCCAGCGCCACACGATGGGCCCAGGGCACTGGTCATCGAAGGAGCCGCCTTGAAGCATTTGCTTGGGGACCCAGAGCTAGAAGAGGTTCTGTTTGCCGTTGCTTCAAACTGTGAAGCTGTCATTGCATGTCGAGTGAGCCCGAAACAAAAAGCCCTTCTCGTGGGTCTTGTTCGAAAGAAGGTGATACCAGAGCCCGTGACCCTTGCAATAGGAGACGGGGCGAACGATGTTGGAATGATTCAGGAAGCCCACGTCGGTATTGGAATATCGGGAAAAGAGGGCAAGCAAGCCGTGAATGCATCCGACTTCGCGATCGCCCAGTTCCGATTTTTGGAGAGCCTTGTTCTGATACATGGTCGATGGGATTTCTTTCGCCTATCCACAGTCGTGCTCTTCTCTTTCTACAAGAATGCAGTGATGGTTGGCTGTATCGTCGTCTTTTCCGGACAAACAATTTTTAGTGGAACTCCGCTCTTCGATGAATGGACTATCAGTGTACTGAACTTCATTTGTGGTATCCCCATTGTTGTTCTCGGATTGTTTGACCAAACCCTGAGTAAAGAGTACGTCCGGAAGCACCCGGAGACGTACCACGCAACTCGCGACAATGAGACTCTGAGTATGCGAATGCGAGCTCGCTGGGTGTTGATTTGCTTCGTGCACATCTTCACGATCTACTACATGTCAGTAAACCCTCACCAGTACGGAGGAGGCTACACGTCTGCTTTCGACGGGTTGATGGCTTCTGGCTTTGAACAGATTGGCGACGGGGAGGGAGGGGACCACAAGAGTGTCGGTTTGGTAGCTTATACCAACGTTGTGTCTGTACTCGCCCTGAAGGTATGTTGTGTGAATGTGGTGGCCATCACAAGTTCAACGGGAAAGCCGACCTGATTTGAGTTGTGTTGTTGTCCTTTCTTTCATTGCACTGTGAAGGTTTTGTTTGAAGGAAAAGCCCTTGTTCACGGCCACTGGCCTGCGTTTACCTGCCGAAAGGATGTCGGCGAAGGTTTCTTTAGCCGTGTGGCGTACACATGGCATGGTGTCATCTGGGGTACCTTCGTCTTTTACATTTTCTTCATCAGTGTCTACTCGGTGAGTTCGTTGAAAACTAGCTTTTCGTTCTCTCTGACTGGTGTCCTGACTGACTTCGGCCCACTTTTGTTTGTTTTAGATTTTGGGTCGAGGTGGTCCCAGTCCTTGGTCTGATTTTGTGGAGGTTGGCCGCCATGTTTTTACGACTCGAGTGCAGACCTGGCTATTGATCATGTTCACACCTTTGGTGGCAATGACTTTCGATGTTGTCTTCAAAGTGTTTTCAAACATGTTCTATCCAACGCAGACTCAGCTGCACCTCGAGATTGAGTGCAATCAACGACTCGACCGCACTCTATTCGAACGCGATATGGCCCTGAGTTCTCGGCAAAGTCAACAATCTCAACAAGTGCGGTCCGAAGTTCAGCTGTGAATACGTATGAGTGATTTTAAAAAAAGTCATTTGTAGAACAAGTACAAGTAATGTAACATGATCTTGTTTCTACCGGTACTGTTAGTGTTAGTTACAAGGACAGAGCGTCTCTGATGGCATCAAGACCAGAATCGTTCTGGTCACCTTTGCTTTCGGGTGGTGTGCTGGTAGCATCTTTGGAGTCACTCGCAGATGTGCTTACATCTGTTGCTTTTGCTGCTGGCGGGTTGTTGCTACTCTTTACGTCTTCGGTGGCAGATTGCGATGACGAGTTGTCAACTGATGGTGTTGCTGCCTGTGGCGAGGCTGGTGCCTCCTCAGCCTTTGGCTTGATCAGTTCATTCTCTCCCATTTGATCTCTGACAAAGGAAGGGACTTGATCCAGTTCCCCAATCTTTTTCAAAACATCACACCTCAAAGAAGCCAAGGAAGGCGGATAGAATCCGACCAGCTGATCATCATCCATAATCATGGGCTGCAAGGCCAGACATCCTGCTTCTACTCGCAGGAGAGTTTCATCGTCTGGCAGCCATGCCAGTCGGCAAAGCTCGGCCTGAAAATCGGTAATGATTCTGGGTGCCTGCATGAAGATTCCTCCTGGTAATCTCAAATTCCACTGGATTGAATCGTTCATGCATTCATCCGAAAGGAACAGGGGTTCCGTGTGAGGCAATTATAAATAAATACAATTCAGCACAGAATTCCAAATAAATGATTGTTGGTTTTTGTTTTTGTGTTTGTTTTTGACTTACCCGTTCTACGGTTGCAATTCCTTGCCACGCATCTTCTTCTTCTAGATCTTCAATGGCCCATCCTTTATCTCCCGACTGTGGTCCCCACGTCCAACTGGATCCCGCCCACTTTTTGTGCCAATTAAAAGGAGGCACAGGTCGATAAAATGTCGGGTTGCCCGTCTGTGGTGGAACGGCAGCTTCCGTTTCGGCCGTGGGTGGTACATCTCGTTGCGCTTCTCGCGATACCATGGTTCGCACCAATTTCAATCCTTGAGGCGGACCGGATCCTGGTTCAACCCCCTGTTCCCATACGGGTGCATGTTGAAAGGTGACTCGGACTCTGCCATCTCCATAAGTCAATATGAGCTCGGTGGCCATGACACCCGATCGTAAGAGGGACGGCCCATTGACCATGGCATTGGCGGCAAATCGAGTTTTGGAAAATCCGGTTTGTTTGTTGTATTTGGCGACTGGGAATTCCTTGATGTCCATGGAATCAAAGCAAGTGGCACAATCGGACCGTTTGGCGCCCGTGACGATGCTGTGGGTTTGTTCGACGGTTCCGTCTTGTGTGTAGTAATTGACGGAAGCAACCGTTTCATCCATGACATCTCCAATGTAGTCATAGGTAGTCCAGATTCCCTTCCATGAACCTTTGGCGTGGTGTTTTTGGAATAAATCCCATTGAATCTCTGCTTCATCCAGTTCAGGTTCTTCGGTCGGTTGGGAAGACAACGACAGTGGAGTCAATGGGCTTGTTCTGGAAAAGGTATTGGGGGGAGTGAATCCCTGAATGCCTAGCTGAAGGTAACCAAGGGAAAGGAACAAGACGGGGATCTGCGTCATCATCATCATGGTATCACTCTTTTTGGTTTCAATAAATAGAAATGTAGAAATGGAGAGTAAATCCTAGCTAGCTAGCTAGCTAGCTAGCTAGCTAGTAGAATGAAGAAAGATATTAGATCGGCGGATGGAGTGAGTAGTTAGTTGAAGTCTGAAAAAATGAGGAAGGTATCCTTACACGTGGAAGAGATGATGGTTTGGTCGACTCGACTCAACCGACTAAACGAAAGCGAACACGAGAAAGAGACACAACCTCAAAAGACCAAGCGTCAAGTGACACTCGACGCAGACTTTGCAGAGGAGGATGGGCTTGAAGCGCCAGAAGAAGTTCACAATATCAGGTTTCCTACTGTTTGTCACGATGAGTGTCCTTTGCAAGAGAGAAATGTTGGTCTGGGCAAGCCAGAGAATTGCGTCCTCTCGAAGTGTTGCTTTTGTCGTTCGAGGTTCCTTTCCCCGCAATCCTTCCCAGCCATCCCACCCAGATGTGTACCAACAACGGCGCTACTTGACTTCCCATTCGAGTTTTTGATCCATCGTCCAATGAACATTCCAATTTTGGCACCAACAAGAGAAAGCAACCAAGAGGTCGTGCCGCAGCAGCCCAAAAACAACAAGAAGAAGCCGAAGACACCGTGTCGGCCGATGAACTCCAACAAATTCTGGATGGCAACTTAGACAACAATTCACCTACAGCAATGACCAAGAAAAAGAAGAAATCCAAAAAGAAAAAGAAAATTGAACTCTTTCGGGCCGATCGAGTCTTGGCCAATCGCAGTGGCAAGACACGAGCTGAATGCTTCAAATTGCTGCGCAAAAATGCCATTTCCATTTTGGAAGATGACAGTTTGGATGATTCCATCATCGCTATTGTGGATGACGATCATTCAAAACCACAACAAGATGATCCAACCAGTAATCGATTGCGACGAGTTGTGGTCCAAGATCCATCAATCCTTCGACAGATCAAAGGACCCAAGGAAAAAATCCCAATGAACTGCCGCATGTTGATCAATCAAAAATTCGAAGTCCCCAACTTGCCACCCCTCTTGACGGTCTATCACAAACCCAAATGGATGCTGTCCACCATGGGAATTGATGCCAAAGGACGACGCAATCTACAGGATCTTTCCTTTGCCTTTTCGGAACGAATGCATCCCGTGGGGCGATTGGATTACGATTCCGAGGGATTGCTGCTCTTTAGTTCCTCGGGAAAATTGACCCAATCCTTGTTGCATCCCAAACACGACAAGGAAAAGGAATATAGATGTATTGTCACTGGGGTGGTGCAGGACGACGTGTTGCAAGCTAGACTCGCCGAGGGAGTGGAACTGGCGGATGTGTCGTCGTCTACTGCCAGCAAGCAGCAGCAGGACGGCAATAGCAAGCCCACATTTACGACCCGGGCACATCTCTTGGAGGTACAGCATTGTACACCGGACACTGTCGCTCCTTATCTGGAAGGAATCAAAAAGTCTTTGCCTCCAGAATACAATCAAACTGATTTGAATTTGAGAGGATACATGGATGTCTTTGATGCCACGCAACTTTCCGAAATTAGACTCGTTGTCACGGAAGGCAAACATCGAATGGTGAGACGCCTCTTGGCGACTTGTGGCCATTCGGTTGTCTCCTTGAAACGAGAACGCATTGGAGCTATTGAATTGGGAGATTTGCCGGTGGGAGCCTTTCGAAATTTGAATCCTACAGAAGAAGAATGGGCGCACCATACATTAGAGGGTAAAAGTACAGAATAATAGAAGCAGCAGAAGCTACATATCACCACCTGAGCTGTGGACTAATGATCATGAGACAATGTAACAATTAACGAGCTGCTTTTCTGGGAACGTCAGAGTACAGGTGCGAGGAGGAGGCATCTAGGTACACACAACAGGAGGCATCTACAAATAGCAATGCCTTCTAAACTTAACTTGGATTACTACTCTAAAATGGAGCACCCCCTATCCTTTGTCCTAATTTTCGTGTAAAAGAAACCTCATTCAATGCCGTAAAACTTTCATGCAACTTGCAGCCACTCATCGTCTTGCCCTGGCCAACCCCACGTACAGGTCCATGTCAACCCATTTTCATTCCATTCATTCATTTTTTTAACCAAAACGTTTACTCGCAATACTTTGCAGTTGCCCTACCAAAGAGTGCAAACAGACAAACAAAAAAGAGTTACGGTCAGAGAGATACGTACTAAATACTAAAATGTTATATAATCTACTAGACAAACTTGCTTACTTACAGTTTTTCCAAATCCGGATCATCGGAGGCGACTGATTCCGTGCCAATAGAACAGCATTCACTCCTGGTATGGTCCTTGATCGCCCTAATATCTTCGAGGTTTTCTGCCAATCCCCCTTCGGTTTTCTCAAAGTTGGAGAATTCGAGACGAGTGTACACACGAAGATCCTTGCGGTAGTGAGCCGGTTTCTTCTTTTTGTACTCTTGCGGTGTGTATGCCGGTAACTCGTAGACACTGAGATATATGGGTTGCTTGCCCGTGACGGCTCCCAAGGCAAACGGACGTACCCCGGGTACGTTGAGAGACTTCCATTGGATCCAATCGCAGTACGCACTCCACAAACACATGGTGTAGGTGTCTTCTAGATTCCAGTCGACACATCCCGCTCCCATGCGTCGTCGCCTCTTGACCGATTCATTGGATTCGTACAGTTCGTGCCCCAATTTTGGGGGTTCCTCGCCTGGTTTGGTAATAACGATTCGATCCATGCTGGCCTCGACAGGGAAGGAAAGATGGGTCTTTTCGTAGAGTCCCATTTCAATGTCATTGGGGTTTACCGGGTCGGTTTTCAGGTTGGCATCGGTTCCCCAACTGTAGTGGAATCCACTATTGATTCTTCGAATCATGGCCAAGAGCACCCCAGCCAATCCCTTGGTCCATCTGGATACCTTGATGGGATGTTCCAATTCACATCCCAGGAACAAGGGCCCCGTGGGTACCTTTTTTAGTTTTATTTGAAACTGGAATTCAAAGCGCCTTTGCTTGCCTCGAAGGTATTCGGAAATCCGCTCGGGTGTTTCTCCCATAGTCGACAGTCGTTCCTTGGGATCATCACAGTCGGGAGTACGTATCATCAACATGACTTGTCCTTCAAAGCATTCATTCTCGAGACGGTCCGGAACATGGTTGGGTATAATACGTTTGCCGGTAGCGCAATTGACGACACATACTCTCTGGAGGTCTGGATGGTGACCCGCGAATTGTTTATCTTCTTCGTTGCGACTGATTTGCTCACCATCCACCATTCCTCCCGGGCAAAGCACTGTAGTCTTGGGGGTAGTCGTAGAAGTACTGCTTTTGACGGCGTCTTTGAGTGCCATCGTCTTCAAGTTGTTGCTTGGACGCCTGGGAAAAGTAGTCGGTGTCGAAGCAGTGTTGATACGTATCACGTGATAGAGATAAGAGAGATCGTTGTAGAGGGAAGGAGTTGACTGTTGTTGTTGCCTTCGATCGACTGAGTAGACAATAGCTTGAGCCAGAACTGGCTTGGAGGTGAGGCGGGGTAACAGTGGGCAAATCACTTTGACGGTTCTTTTTCGGACACTAGCAAGTTAACCCAGCCAGTGAACCTGATGAAAACAAAGCTTTAAAATTCTAAATGATCAATGATCAAGATCTCTTCGCCGTTCCTGTTGAATGATGTGATTGTTGCAATGGTGCACCTATTCCGTGTGACGACAGCTCTATCGTGCGGTGTCTATAAGCAAACAAGTCAAGCAAACCCTTTGCTTTCTACAGCTACCCCATCAATTAACTAGTGGGTCAATCAGACGGGCTTCGTATTGACGATAGGGAGACTATCAAGACTAACCGCTGATACCCTTCCGAGAACCCTGCTTTGTTGCTTGTCCGCTGATCTCTGTCAGCATCGCGTCTCGTAACACCTTCACCTTGTGATGAAAGCAACAAAGGTGCTGCGCGCGACAAACATGTACCGGTCAAAAGATTCACGAATGATGAATGATTCAATCGAATGATTCAATCGAATCGAATCTTCAATCTCGGTTGAATCTCGTCTCGATCTCGAATGCTGCAGCAAGACCTATGCTATTTCGCTTCTATTTCGGAAACAAACTTCCGAAGCGAAAGTGAAGCAAAGCTTTATTGTCTTTGTTTTCGCTTTGATGAATTTCGGTTAAATACGACCGTCTATTATTGCGCGACATGCCCGAGGTCCCAACGTCACGCTTTTGGTCCCGGTCACGGATCCTACTCCTGTACCGCTTACGTTGCGTGGTACTAGTACGTGCACCAACTGGTTTAGATCTATTCGACGAAACAAGAGCTAGCTACTAGTAGATGTAGTAGAGAGGTTTGAAGGACCAAGCAAGAGGGCGATGATGCTTCCGCTACCACCGGTATTGGTACTGGTACTGGTACTAGCTAGCTGGGTTTGATGATGGTGCACCTCTACCGGTACCGGCAGTGCAGTTACTGAGTATTTTAGCCAGGTAGTACCGTAGGTATCTGGCTTGTGGACAATTTTGTCGTTCCAGAACGGTCACTGTCGTTCAAAAGGATAGAGGCCTCAGCTCTTGTAGATTCAACGTGAGGTTTGCCCCTTAAATCCAGCAATACCGTTCGAATCGGTTTCAACGAATATATTCGAGGTTAGGGTTGAAGTTAACACGTACGTCAGTATTTATTTATTTATTCCTATTTATTTATTTATTCCTCCGTTTGGATCGTCGCACCTCCTCCGTGGAACAGATCGATCGCATAAGATAATAAACTCCTTTACTCATCGACCATGGCATACTCCTTACTCATCGACGGTGGCATTCAATCCGTCGCTTCTTCCTCTTCAGGCACATCATACTGTTCCTCTTGGTGTTGTGGTAGCGGAGATAGAGCGATCGATCGATCCAATAAACCAATAAACTCCTCGCTCCAGCCACCGTAACTCCTCCAGCCACCATAACTGCCTCCTCCAGCCACCGTAACTCCTCCACCATGACGATGGCATATTCAATCCGTCAAGGTTGCTTCTTCTTCCTCTTCAGGCACATCCTCCTCTTCCTCTTGTCCTTGTTGCTGTGGTTGCCCACTACGATAAAGCTTCAGTAACTCTGGGAGCCTTGGGTATTCCTTCTCCAAAGGAGGCAACGATGTAATTGATTTGAGATACGCTGATCGACGCTCTTTGGCAATCTCTTGGTCAAGCTCCGACTTCTTCCTCTTGCGGCCTCTCTGCTTCTTTGCTTCCAGTGTCTCCTCTAGCTTCTGCTGGACTTCCTTCTTCTTGCCGGTGGCAGCATGCCGGAGGATATTGAGAGCCTTTTTGAAATCATCGCGATAGCACCTCAGCCTTGTGTTGTCGCGCTTGCCTT